AGCCGATGTAGATGCACCCGCCGTGCGGCGGGAAACCCAAATCGTGGCTTCCAATGGCGCGGGCTCCAGCCTCCACACTGAGGCCCCTCTGTTCCTGTTCTAGCACCAGGACTGCATTCCAAGTTGGTTTCTCTCAGCCCAGTTCGTTCCTGGGTCAGCAGAACATATCTCCACCTGCTTATGACTCCTTATTCCGCACCATTCCTGAATTCTAAGCCGAGTCTTTCAGAGAGCCTCTGTAGCTGCTGCTATCTGTCCGCCATGTTCTCCTGGAAGTCCCTTGCTCTATTTTTTAAAAGACAGCTTTTAGGGCAGGAATGTAGGTCAGCAGTGCCACACCTGCCTGGCAAGTACAAGGTCCTGAGTTTGATTTCTGGTAAAAAAAAAAAAGAAAAGAAAAAAAAAAGCCCTAAAGATAGCTTCTCACTATATCATTGAGTTGCTCAGGTTGGGCTTAAATGTGGGGTACTTCTGTTTCAGCTTCCCAGAAAGCTGGGTTACAGGCCTGTCATACCATACCTGGCTAGTTAATTGATTTTTTTTTTAAATCAGTACCAGGGATTGAACTCATGACCGCCTGCTTGCAAGGCAGGTGCTTAACGCCTCTGAGTGAAATCACCAGCCCCTTGATTTTTTTTTTAAACAAGGGTGCCAGGTGATAAAATAGAAGATAAGAGATTATTTCAACAAATGGTACTGGTACAAGCAGGTATTATGGAAAAGAAAGAATTTGGACACCCAGCTCATATCATGTACAAAAATTAACTTCTGAAACACGAAAGTCCTAAGTAGAAGGCCTAAATTGATAAAAACTCTTAGAAAAAAAATATTAGGCTACGCAATGGTTTCTTAGATATTGTACAATGTGGTGCCAATCATAATATTGAAAGAATGTACAAAGCCAAAATCTTAAAAGTAAAATTCTTAACACCTAAAATTCTCAAAAACTTATTAAAAGGCCAGTCAGAATACAGCAATAATGAGAACTTCCTTTTTTTAAAAAAAGTTTCCTTTTTTTGTGTGTGTTTTTTTTGAGATGGAGTCTCGCTATGTGGTTCAGACTGGCCTTGAGCTGACTTTGTAGCTCAGGCTGATCTCAAACTTGCAATGATCCTCCCACCTTAGCCTCCCAAGTGTTGGGATTACGCCCGGCTAAAGTTTCTTTTTTCTGCAGTGGCATTCCTTTCAGCTGGTATTTCAAGAGATTGAATGAATTAAAATATTTGCCTGAAGAAGCCAGTAATATTATTGAGTGGTTCAAAAATAATTATGTGCAGACCGTTTTTGAAGACACTTACACAATGGTGTTGCTGTTTAGTCACTGGTATTATTTCTGATAATTTGTGGAATGTGCAGAATGGAGTTCTATATACCCAAAGCAATATGGAAGCATGGCATTAAAGATGGGAAAACTATATTGAGAATGCTCATATGAGTGTATAGTGAAGCACAGGAATTTTAAAAAACTAGTTAAGTTCTTTATGATAAATGGAAACTAATCTATATGTATTCTCAGAGAGTGATAAAAGATGGAAAGAAAAAAAAGCAGCACTTGATTAAGATATGAGTCTTACAGGACAATGGTACTCAGGTGGAAAAAAAAAAGATATGAGTCTTAAACAATTAAAAAAATTAGACAATTAAAAAAATTTTTTTTGGTATCAGGAATTGAACACAGGACCTTGTACTTGTCAGGCAGGTACTCATGCTGCTGGCCCTAAAAATTTAATTTTTTTATTAGTAAATATTTGTCATTCATATTGTCTGAGTGTCATTCATATTCACATTTATCATAGGGAATTTATACCTACACACAATATATCTTAATTGTTTTTCTCCCCATTCCCTCCCCTCCCTTCAGCTCTTCTTTCCCTTCCTCTTTACACAAACTTTCTTCCTTGTTTTTCCTTCCCCTCCTCCTCCCTCATTTCCCTTCCCACTAAAACTTGGTCTAATACATACAATTATGAAAGTTGATGAACTGTTGTGGACTACTAAGGTTCTGCTAACCTGGGGCTTAGCTATCTGTAACATAACATCCACCCAACTTGGTACCAGACCCAGAGAAACAAGTTCTCTCTCCAAGAGTGACTTCTGTTCCCCTTCTCATTACAGAGACAAACCTCCCACTCCTTTTTTGCGAGAGCTGAGCCCTCTCCAATCACAAGACTCCACAACTACCTAAGCCTCCACCTCCAAGCCCTATTAAATCTGTCTCCTGTTTTACAGAGCAGTTTTCCTTCAAATCAGCTGTAAATGTGTCATTTTGCCCACCTCCCAAATTCCTCCCCCAGCTGCTGTATTCCTATAAAGTATTCTCATGCCCTCATCAAACGCTTCTTCCTACTTTGACTCCTTATCTCTGGAGCACTGCTTTAGACTGAGTGACAAAAATAATCAGTTGGTGCTGTTTTTTTAGACTGGAGTGGTTAGGGCCACATTGCTCCTGGGGGGGCCTATCCCCCAATTTGAGTCCTGCCCAACTTAAAAGCACCCCCCCACACACATACACTGTTTCTCTTCCTCCTGGGAGTTCCCTGCCATTGTTTTTGCTACAACCCATCCACCACCAGCCAGCCTCCATTTCATCAGGTTCTCACAAGGTGAGCTACTCTCCTGGCTGCCTTGTAAAGTCCTATGCCTTTGTTGAGCTACCTTGCTCAGTCTCACTCATTTCCCCTTGTTTCCCCTGGTGACAAATGGGAGACTCAACTCTTATGACATCTCCTTGAATGCCCTTCTGCAGTTGGTGATGACCCACCTCTGGTCAGCGACCCATTCTCAGTTCACTGGCTCACCCTTAATTTGATCATGATTAGAAATACTCGTTCCAGGGGCTGGGGATTTAGCTCAGCAGCTTAAGTGCCTGCCTTGCAAGCAGGCAGTCATGAGTTTGATCCCTGGTACCGAAAAAGACAAAAAAAAAAAAAAAAAAAAAACAAAAACAAAACAAAAAAAACCCAGAAATACTCGTTCCCTGCCATAGAAACACACTCCACTCTGGTGCCTGTTGGAAGATTACTTGCTGGGCTCTGTAACCTGTGATCTCTAAGTAAATGCGCTGGTGGTCTCAGAGGCACCTCATAGCCTACAACTTAGTTTTTTTACTGCAGGGTGGCTTGCTGGATAACAGGTGCCACCCTCCTTGATTTATAAGCCTTTGCTATCATGTGGCAAATGGTCCAAGTTGCTTATCTACAGGCCTTTTTTGCTCTCAGGGCATGCCTTCTCTCTCATTCAGGCATATGGAGTAGACCAAATACTTGGCCTTTGGTAACTCATACCAAGCTTTTGATCAGTCTCATCAAGACTTGGCTATGTAGGGACTGGGGATTTAGCTCAGCAGGCATAAGTTCCTGCCTGGCAAGCACGAAGTTGTGAGTTCAATTCCTGGTACCGCAAAAAAAAAAAAAAACAAAAAAAAAACAAAAAAAACCCAACACAACAACTTGGGTATCTGTAGTTCAGAGTGATTGCAGTTATAAAACCTACTATACATGATTACCCACTGCAGTGATAATACATTTATGCAATTCACCTTTATCTACTTATAAATACCAGTCTTCTGCTCATTACTGTTACAATACAGTGACTGTTAGTATAACTGAATGTTTATGCTTGCAAAAATATGTATATTACTGCCTATTTTACTGAAAGTGGTTTACGATTGTTTTTTGTTTCCCCTTTAACAATGTAAATGTCTTTAAAAATTTTTTTAAATTAGTTTTTCCAGTGTTACATTTTTCAGGACTTTGATCTTTCAGAATTTCAACATTTGGGATTATGGTGGTCAAGACCTTGTCTTTTGGGATTACAGCAAAAGTCTCCTTCAGGGATTTGGGAGGTGGCAGCAACCTAGAGAATAAAAACAAGTGTGAAGCAGGAAGACCAGATAGGATACTGTTGTAATGTAGACAAGAAATGATGAAAGCCTTACCTAAGACAGGGGCAACAGGAATGAAAATGTTTTTAAAGTGTTAAGAGTTATACGTTGGTGACTGGTTAGATGTCAAGCATAGAGGAGAAAAAAGGGTGCAGAGAGGTGTCCATTTGACATAGGCATTGCAGGAAGGCAGACTGGCAAGAAGGTGTGAGGAGATAAAGAGTTTAGTTTTAGACTCACTCGCTGTAAGATGAATAACTTTATAGGAAGAGGTATCTGGCATGCAATAGGGCATTTCCTATGTATTCTCTAACAGACTGTATTTACCTCATTCACTGGTGTGGCTTGCGTCTCAAAATCTGGCTCCCACCTAGCTAAATGAATGAATCTGATCAGTGTTAAACTCTATAAACCTTTATTAGAGACGCTTATATACAGCCACAGGAATAAACTGTGTTTGTAGGACTGAACGGCCGTTTCAAACATGTTGGGTACTCAACTCCTGAGAATACTGTTTTTGGTTATAGCGGCCTCAAACACCTCACAACTTCCTATCACATCTACACGTTTTTTCAAAAATCTGTTTTTCTAAAGACCACCGTACCTAATACCGAACATCTGCTAATTTTATGGCCATATATTAGTACCTTTCAGACTGGAAATTTGCTGGGGCGGGACGGTGATGACCTCATCATCTACTCCACGCCCCAGCGGCTACGGAGACAGTGTCTTTCCCAGAGCCCCGCACAGCACCTGGGCCGTGAGGCGCAGCCAGACCGCGCCCAGACGGAGGGGGTGCACCCCACAGCCCCGCGTGACGCCACATAGGCCGACATCACCTCAGGAATGCGCCGTGCAATCACAGAGCGCGCCGCATCGAGCGGACGTAGCCCCCGCCCCGGATCCCTCCGCCAGGCCACTCCCGCGCCGGGTGCCGGCACTCTGCACTCTCAGGCCCACAGGCTCTGGGGCCCTCGGTTCTTACATCGTGGTCACCTCTAAAGCCACTTTCGCTTGCGTGTAGGACCCCTCTCGCCACTGTTTTAGGGCGCGTCCTCAGAGCCTCTCGTAGGCGCAGGGAGACCTCGTCGGCGAGTCGTAGTGCTTATGGGCGTGGTTTGCGTCAGGCCCCGCCCCTTCCATGACGTTTTTGGTGGCGAGCGAGCGAGTGGTGTGCTGGGCTGCCCGGGGTTAGGTGTAGGTCGGTGTGAGGGCGCTGCTTCTCCACGCGGGTCTGCCTGTTTCTCTCGCTTGGTATCTTCTGAGAGGGCAGCGACGGGATGGCTCTGCTGGGTTTACTGCATGCGGGCGGGTCGTTGCTGGGACAGGTAGTGGATCAAGTGACCGGCAGCAGCCTTGTCTCCACGCTGCTGGTGGCCTGCGCCTTCACGCTCAGCCTGGCCTACCTGTACCGCCTGCCTTTGGACCACTTGGCCCATCTGTCACCCGGAGCGGTGGGTACAGCTTCTGTGGGCCGGGCGAGGCCTTGGCAGCTGAGGTGGCGGGAGGGAGGCTGGGTCCTTAGTCCTGGCCCTGCTGGGAGGTGGATGTGGTGGTCGTGGCCACAGCACGGCTGCTGATGGCGCTGGCTATCGCGACGTCTGTGACCTTGCCGGCCTCGGTATTGGGGCCAGCGGCCACCTATCTGATCCTGGTGAATCGTGCGTGCAGCGTTTGTGGTCGTTGTGACTACTCTGCAGTCCAGCCTGGTTGTGGACCTTACTGGCTGACTTCCGACTTTGGGGGCTTGAGGAAGACCTTCATGATGATGCGCTTGGCAACTGCGGCCCTTGTGGTCGACACCCTATAGATGGCAGCTTATGTCGGTGTCCAGGCTTTTGTGTTCAGTTTGGTAAAGGGGAGTTTCAGGGATGCGGTAAGGGGTTTCTTATAATACTGTTAAAATACCAGTTTCTTTAATTAGGGATTGGCCACCAGTCTTAAATCTGCCAAATATGTTTGATGAATGCACCCTTAATAAGCAACTATAGATAGATTTCAAAAACTACCCTTTACTGACAGTGAAATGGACAAACCAACTACACAGTACTTAGATCAAGGTCTGGGTTAAAAGATTTTAAACTTTATTTGAACTACGACAGGCACGAGGCAGGGTTAGTAGTAGTATTTTTCCTACAGGTGCGATTTTTGAGGAAGTAGTGTATGTTTTTGGAAAGTATGTTATTTTTCTTGTTGCTGGGACAAAATATGCAACACCCAACGTTAAAGGGGTAAGGTTTATTTAGCTTTCAGTTTGTAGTGGTTTTAGTCCAAAACTGGCTGACTCCAAGGCAGGGTGACTGGGCAGAGAACAGTTCATGGTGCAGAAGACAGCAAAGGCAACAGGGAGAAAGAGGCCTCTTTCTGTCCCTTGTATTGTATGCAGGCAACTTGCCCCTAGGGTGGGTGTAGCACTCACATCCTTAATCAGTTGACTGTGAAAGCCTGCCCCACCCTGCAACCCTGTTGGGATTTGGGGGAACATCCAGACACAAACCATAACACATCTAAACAGTACCATCCTTTGTCATTGCAAGTTTCATTTACAGGAAACTTAATGTAATATGTGGATATCATTTTGTAACATTTGATGTATGGTTTATGATGAATGTTAAAGAATTTCTGTTAGAATTGATGTATTTCCTTTAAAATTGATGGATCTAATTCATTTGCAGTGAAAGAAGTATGAGATGTGTTCTGTTCACTGTAAATGCAGATTAAACATTTCCCTTATGTCAACTTAGTGTTGGCCTTTTCTGTTTCTTTGAGGAAGATTCTGCAACTACTAATGGTTAGAAAGGCTAGCCTGAATCACTGGTAATACTACGGTGTCTATTTAGAATTGCAGTGCTTGTTCAACTATCCTGTTTTGAAAAAGAATTTTTTTTGAGATAGTATTGTTGTATGGTTCAGGCTGGTTTTCAACTTGTTATGTAGCCCAGGCTGGCCTTGAACTCAGTGTGATCTTCCTGCCTCAGCCACCTGAGTGGAGGTGTGCATCACACCTAGCCTTGAATTTCTGTTCTTTTAAATAGTATTCATCATAGATATTGGCTGTTTAGCTCTTCTTAAGTTACTTATGATGCTTCACTTTTTGGTAGTTTTCTTTTAGGACTGATAGAAAATTTGATTACATTATTTGGTTATGAAACTGAATTGAGTTTTTTTCTTTAAAATTAAATAAGAAATGAACTTTTTTTTTTTTTTTTTTTGGTACCAGGGATTGTACTCATGACCTTGTGCTAGCCAGGCAAGCACTTAATACCGCTGAGCTAAATCCCCGGCCCAAGAAATGAATTTTGTTGCTCTTTTCACTTACAGAAAACTCCACCGTACATTTTCTCTCCAGTTCCATTCCTTGGGCATGCTGTAGCATTTGGGAAAAATCCAATTGAGTTCCTAGAGAATGCATATGAGAAGGTAAGTCTTCTAAATAACTAGAGAAAAAGTAGGTTAGATAGATAAGTGGAAGAACATTTTAAAATTGTGTCTTTATGATTACAGAGAGTATAGAAACAAATGGAAGCTACCCTAGTATAAGAGATGGAGAAGTCTTGTAAACTACTATTTTAGCTTCTGTGCATGTCCTGAGGTAGTCTGAGAGTCCCCTGAGGAAATGTAGTTCTGGCAATTATTGTTTAAGAAACAGTGTTCTAAATTTTGTTTTCACTGATTGTAGTTAAAATTGATAAAATTGACCCTCATTTTTCTTAACCATGCATCTGTGGAATTTCTAACCTGCCTGGTACATCCTCTGTGACTTTACTATCTACTTGTGTACTCAATCTTTGACCTTTCCTCTCTAATTAGCTTTCTTCTGTCACTTCAACCATTTACTGCTCGCGCTACTTTGGACTTGCTGTGACAGAATACCTGAGGTAAATAAAGGAGGAGACTTTTACTTTGGCTCATGCTTTCTGAGTCCTTGGTTTGACTCTGGCAGAAACATAGTGAAAGGAACGCTGTTCAACTTGTGGAAATCAGAAAGCAGAGCGAGAGAGGATTGCTAGTGGGCTTCTTCCTCTTTCTGTTTTTGTTCCATCCAGGCCCTTACTGTATTGGATGGTGCCATCTACATTCAAGGTGGTTCTCAGCCCAGTTTGCTATCCCACGTACTAATCATCTCTAGAAATCCCTCAGACATTTCCCTTCAGGGATTTACTTAGGTGGTTTCCCTTCAGTGAAAAACTTAGGTGGTTTTTCAATCCAGTCAGATGACAGTGATTAATCCTCACAGAGTTGTTCCCTGTTCCACTTTCTAATTTTTCTCAGGTCTTGGGTCACACCTCCTCATTTGCCTGTGTGACTCCTTTAATTATAATCATTCTTGACTTCATTATATTATCTGTTCCACTTTCCCATTTACTTTCTTCCTGATCTATCAGGCTTCTTCTTTTTTCTGTTTTTTACTTTTGGCCCATGGTTCATCATTTCAGTTACATTCTTGCCAAGACTTTAAGTTTCCTTGTTTCTAGAGCGGTTTGTTCCTCTCACTTGGCAAAACTCCAATGGTGGGAGAAGTCAGTTACTCAATTTCAGCTTTTTTGCATCAGATCAATTTCTTAATTTCATCATGACCTGCCTTGCATGAAATTTGAATATTGCTCAACAGTTCTGTTTTGTTCTTGTGATTGGCTGACTGAATTTCTTTCTTTTTTTTTTTTTTTTTGTTACCGGGGATTGAATTTACAACCTCCCACTTGCAGGGCAGGCGCTTATGCCACTGACCTAAATCCCCAGCCCCTGAATTTCCACATAGTTTAAACTTCCTTCTTTTGCTCATGAACACAAATGTCCTTAATGTGATTTCTGAGCAGACTCTGGTATAACTGCTGCCTGACTCTTAATTCTCATCTCATTTTTCCCACTGTTCTCATTCAGGACCGTTGAGCATGCTTGGCTGCCAAGCTGACTCCTGTTCATCTGCTGGGGCTCATTGTGGGTCTTTTTCCCTGTTTATATCTGCCTTTCATCACAGTTGTTTTTCTTTATGTACTACTGCCTCACCTGCATTTTATATTTATTTTCAGTGATTTACATATTTTCCAAGACACTGCTTCAGGAGTGAGGGACAGTATATTTTTGTTCATGATTATATTTCCAGAATTTAGTCTTTAATAGTAATAGTGATAATAATAATAAATGCAAAATGAAGCTTGTTACGCCTAACGAGTAACATCAACATGATAAAACCATTCGTTGTTGGTGAGATAGTATAAAACTGATAATGACAAACTTCCTGGGTCTTCTATATGTTTTATAGAAAAGGACATATATTTCAGCTGCTGCTTAAATTTTTTAAAATTTTTTTTTATTTTTTTGTCTTTTTCCTTTTTATCGGTACTGGGGATCGAACTCACAACTGTCTGCTTACAAGACAGGCGCTTGTGCCGCTGAGCTAAATCTCCAGCCCCCGTGTAAATTTATTTTTAACTAAAGAGGGGAGGGCTGTATATTCTCAGAGATACTCATTCCAGAATTGTTTATGAAAACAAAACCTTGATAGCATTACCCATAGCCAATAATGAAAAAGCAATTAAGTTAACATCATGGTGTATAATAATAGAAAACAATGGTTGACTAATGTTTAAATGATAAAAAATGTTTTCAGTATAAAAAGTGGAAAACAGAATAAACAGTTGTCTTTATATTGAATTTGCAACTAGATCAACATATTTATAAATTTAAATAAATACAAGAGGGGTTGGGGTACGAAGTTGAAACAGATTCCTTTAAAATATATGAATTTTATTTTTTGGCTATGCATTGTATGATTTAAGTAGTAGTAGTAGTTGTTTTCATTGTTGTGTGTGTGTGTGTGTGTGTGTGTGTGTGTGTGTGTGTATGCGTTTGGTAACTGTCACTATGAGTGCTTTTCTCTCTTTAGTATGGACCTGTATTTAGTTTTACCATGGCGGGTAAGACATTTACTTACCTTCTGGGGAGTGATGCTGCTGCACTGCTTTTTAATAGTAAAAATGAAGACCTGAATGCAGAAGATGTCTACAGTCGTCTGACAACTCCTGTTTTTGGGAAGGGAGTTGCATATGATGTGCCTAATGCAGTAAGTAACACTGTTGTCTTGAATAAGGACAAATTTATACTGTGATAGTTATAGCTAGTACTGTAATATTACACATTTACAATGTGGAAACATTTTATTCCTTGGTTCAAAAAATCTGAGGTGCATGAGACATTTAAAAGGAGAAAAACTACACTGATAAGGAATGTATATTTTGTTTTATACCTGCTAAATAAAGTGCTTCCTCTAAAAAGAAATGTAATCAGTGATAAGAGGATATTGGAATTTGTTTTGAGAAATTAGTAAGGAAATCCCATTATTTCATTAAAGGAGCTTTTTCCCTACCTATTTCTCCCTGAAATTCTATCATAAGTGCTGGAAGAAATTGCTAACTTCAGAAGTTCTCTTTCTAATGTAATCATTCAGGTACAGTGAGCATTTGTTGGGTGCTTTTTTTCTTCTTCTAAAGTTAAGTATTAAAGTGCAGGTTGATACACAACATAACTTAGATGACTGGCTTGGTTGCTTCCTATGTGGACTTTGGCTAATGCACATAGACCCAAGTGTCATAGTTAGTTTTCTTATTGCTGAGACACAATACCTGACACCCATGATTAAAGGAGGAAAAGTTTATTTGGATCACAGTTTGAAGAGGTTTTAGTACATAGTTTGTTGGCTCCAAGGCAGGATGACATGTCAGTTTTCTCTTTTGCAGAAGAGAAATAGCCCACATCAAGTAGTCAGGTGATGAGAGCACATTAGTCCTCTTTCTGTCCCCTTTTTAAATGTAATATCCTCTCTAAGGTGAGTGTGCTAGTCACACCCTTAATCGTAGAATTGTGCCCTGTCAATCAGTATACTGACTTAGTAATCATACAAGAGATCCAGCCACATCTGAAAAGCATCTCACTTCCTCCATGAGTGCTTGAGACTTTGAGGAGCCATCTAGATGACAGCCATGACACCAAATAAAGCAGTTAAAAATAGATTAAATGTCGTTTTTGAGAATGGTCATGTTGTGGGAGAATGACTACTCAAATTCAAAAGCCAAGGCCTCAGAGAGAATGATTCTACTTGAATTTAAAAGCAAAGTCCTCAGAAAAACTTTGTTTAGATTTGGTTTATCTATTCATTTCTCTTTTTACATCGTACTAGCCTCTTAACATATAAATGCCCTGAAGGATTAACCATTAGTTGTCTTTGTGTAAATTTATTTTACTCAGATTGTAGTCTCATTAAACTTGTGGAAGATAGTGTCACAGAGGTTGATATTTTCTTGGAAATAGAGGAAAAAAGCATGTTAAAGAGGATAAAAATAGTATCAAACTGTAAATGGACCTTCAGGAAATTGCAGTGGAATTTGGGTTGAGTTTAAAGACTGGAAATTAAAGACAACAGGGACAGGAAGCTCTGGAGTTAGAAGAGGGAAAAGGGTCTGTAGGAAGGAGGGCAGGAGGTGGGCCTCCTACTTTATTCATCTGGGACCTTGGTAGCAGACACTGTGCTTCCATCATTACTTCAGCTAAATGCATAGATGCTCTACGTTGCTGTATCTGGTCTAGTTTTTAAAAACTCTTACTGTTTTTTTTTTTTTTTTTTATAATTTTTCAGGATGTTTTCTTTGAATGTTACATAGTTAGACTAATTTAATGGACTGTATGATATAGCAGACATTATTGTAATGCTGTGTGACCTTGATTTTTTTTTCTTAAAAGATTTTCTTGGAGCAGAAGAAAATGTTAAAAAGTGGCCTTAACATAGCCCATTTTAAGCAGTATGTTCCTATAATTGAAGAAGAAACAAAGGAATACTTTAAAAGTTGGGGAGAAAGTGGAGAAAAAAGTAAGGTCCTGTTATTTCTACTTGTCCATGATTAGAAGTATAGAGTGCGTGCGTGCATGCGTGCGTGCGTGTGCGTGTGCGTGTGTGTGTGTGTGTGTGTGTGTGTGTGTGTGTGTGTGTATAAAATAGTATGGCAGGCTGGGGATTTAGCTCAGTGATTTGAGTGCCTTTCTGGCAAGCGCAAGGTCATAAGTTCGATCCCAGCACCAAAAAAATAAAAAGAAAAAATAATATGGCATATATACAGTTTCCTTGGATTTAATGAGAGGGACGTGTTCTGATTACTAAGGAGTAGTTACTGTAGATCCAGTTTTTCACTAGACTGTAATAATGTATTTCTTTAGAGGGGATTGCCTTACCTAAAGCAGGGATCAGTGTTTGATCATAGGGTAGTAGTATCCAGAGCAACAGGTCATCACATTCTGAGTGTGGGCTTCAGCTTCTGTAAGTGGAGTAGGAACCTGTTTTTATTTTTAGCATCTCTAAAGTTGGTATTGATGTATTTTCAAACCATACATAAAGCTGATGTGTAAATTAGAATGCCAACTTAATAAACATGTGAGTTTATAGTATTCAGAAGACCCAGAGAATTGGCTGATCTTCTCTTTTTTTGGCAGTCTGATTGGAAACCCAATTGTTAATGGGTCATTCTTTTTGTTATAGTAGAATGAAAGAACAGGAAATTACTTGGACAAATTTTGTGACTTATAAGTATCACCAAAATATGTTCGCCAGATGCATCTGTTTCCAGTGTTGAGATACACCATTTGGTGATTATAGTTTGCTTTTATATATTGCCAAAACTTCAGTGTTTAGTCTTGAGTCCTTTATTGATCTGGGAAAAATTCAGATCTTTGAACTGTCATCCCTTATTGTCTTTGTAGGCACAAAATAATCTTTTTTCTGGTTTGTTGTGCTGTGACCTGAAAATCAGATAATCCCATTGATTTTAATCTCCATTTTATCTCTAAAGAGCTCAGAAAAGAGATTTGGAGATGCCTTGGTGGCATCTGTCATGGCTGTCCAGAGGGCAGTTCCCTATTATTGTTGTTATTATTATTATTTTGGTACTAGGAATTGAACTCAGGACTTCACGCTTGCCAGGTAGTCACTAGTGTCTTATTATTATAGACAGCTAAATTAGATAAAAATATTTTAGGCAGTCAGACAAGGTTAGGCCCTTGAGGGGAGTCAGTACAGAGGATGAAAACATATTACAGCTGTGGCTGGAGGTGTATCTGTTAAAGACCAGGCCTCAAGATAAAGACAAAATGACCAGGCCTACATGCCTCACCAATGGATAAGCAATATACTATAATCAGTAACACTTGGTCTAATAAAGTCCAGATAGATATCAGTTATCTAGATGGGTGACCAGGACCTCCTCTTCTTTCAGCGTACACTTTCTATGTGATTTGCTTCCCCATTAGATCAGCATCACCTAATTAACTATACTTGTAATCTTATTGGCTGATGTAATTTTGTTCCAGGTTGAACATATCTCATAATATTATACCCATCTTGTGATTTTGTTCTATAAAACTTCCTTTGGCAGTGGGCTTATTGGCAACCCATTTGGGCCCCCTCCTCTTTCATAAAATTTCCTACTCTTAACCTCCATTGTTCCTTAAAATTCATTCTTCAATTTTGGGAAACTTGGTGTATCAGACATGTAATAGGTTGAGAATTACAATATTTCCCTAGGTCTTTTTCACTATGATCTGGTCCATTGACTTCAGTGTTCTGAATAGCCACATATCTGTCTTTTTTATGAATGGGATCTTGTTTTTCAGTTTTAATTCTATTTTCTATCACTATCTTTTTTTATTTTCAGCGAAACTATTTCATAAGTCATTTGGAAATAGTAATAATCTTTTTCTTCCCTAGATTTATTTGAAGCTCTTTCTGAGCTCATAATTTTAACAGCTAGCCATTGTTTACATGGAAAAGAAATCAGAAGTCAACTCAATGAGCAGGTGGCACAGCTGTATGCAGATCTGGATGGAGGTTTTAGTCATGCAGCCTGGCTGCTGCCGGGTTGGCTGCCTCTACCTAGTTTCAGGTATGGATAACAAGATATTGCACGTAGTTAATTTAACTTCTTATTATGTGCTGTTGATATGCTTTCAACTCTGGGGAGATTATGAACTCCTTTATAAGAATTCATGACAGGTTTTCATTATGTAGTAAACTTATTTAAAGTAAGTTTTAGGTAGTTAGAATGGTGATTTGCTGTTTATTCTAGTATTTTAAAGCTTACCTCTCATAATTTTTATACTCAGGAAAGTCGTAACTATCTCTGAAAGTTTCCTTTAAGCACTTGTTTGATACTCTAATGATTTTATAGTATATATGCTGCTAAATTAATTTCTTTTGAATATTTGTGCCTTTATTTAATATTTTCTTTGTCCCTTTGCTGAATATTCTGGGATTTGACTAAGGGCAGAGACTTTCTTTGATTCACAGAAATACTGCTTTTAAAACATGATGATTAACTGAGGGTCATGCACATTAGTACACTTTCTAAATCTTCACTGAATCACATCCATTTAGGTGAGTGATGGGGAGGAGTTAAATTGGTATTCCCTTTCCCTTCTATTTCTGCCCCTTTTATCTCTTACAGAATAAAAGTAGTCAGAATAAAAGAAAGTCAGAAGAGGTTCTCTGTAAGACTTCTCTGGAATTCATAGCACCTTGTAGGTGTTAGGAGCTTCACAGTTTTCAAAATTCTTTTCCTTTGTATTGTGTTGGGACACACAGCACAGCTTTTGGTCCTGGTTTTCCATAAACCCAGTCTGTTTCTTTCTGCCCTATCTCCTGGGTGAATCAGAATTCTTTAGTTTGCTGATGTCCTGGTCTTTTTTTTTTTTTTTTTTTTTTTTAACTTTGACAACCAAATTATTCCATTCATTGTCTTTATTTCGTTTCTTGGAATTGAACCCAGGGCCCCATGCATACTAAGCACACGCTCTCTGTCTGAATGATACCCCTGGCCCTCCATTTATCTTCAATAGGCTCTGCTGTATTCACAATTAAACTTGAATTTTTCTTTCTGTGCATAGCATCTGAGTTGATTTCCTATAGCAGTCTTTCAAGTGAAATACGCAGAAACTTGGAGTTTGTTATGAGAGAGTGCTTTGCAATTAGGTTGCCTGGTTTTAAGTGATAGTTCTGCTGTTCATTGGGTATGTGATTTTCGGCAGCCACCTTTGAGTTGGGGTGGCTGCTATATTGTTACATGGTGAGCAGCCTGTTTAAAAGTAAAGCTTTGGGAGTTGAAGTTAGTTTTCTGAAATCTACTTGAATTTTCCTCCCTGAAGAACGAAGTTATAGAAAAATGAAAGGTAGCTTCAAAAATGAATGAATCTTGTTCAAAATTGATTTGGTTAAAATTAAATTGTGTGTTGATTTAGAAAAGTATTTTACTTTCTGTTGAACTGAAAGATAACTTCCAAAGGAATTTTGTGCCTATTGTGTGCCTACAGTTAGAAGATGGTGTGTTAAGGATCTGAGACATACAGTATAACATTTTTGGGGTCTAAGAGCTATAGGAATTCTTAAGATTTTTATGAAGTTTTTCTTGGTTCTAGATTTTTATTTTCATTTTGTCATTGTACTGGGGATAGGGTCTCATATGCTAGCTAAGTGTTGCACCACTAAGATATATCCCCAGCCTCTTTTCATTTTTTGTTTTGAGATAAGGTCTCACTAAATTGTTGTCTGGGCTAGCCTTGAACTTGTGATCCTCAGCATGAGTCACCATACCTAGCTGATTCTACTTTTTGTAAATTAAATTAGAGTCCTTAATTAGTTAAGTAAGGTTGCCTTAAGCGAGGTCCTGGTTTTCAAATGAATTTAATTCTAGAAAGTATTTTTTTAAAAAGTCATTTTTATGTTTAAATTACAGGCGCAGGGACAGAGCTCATCAAAAAATCAAGAATATTTTCTATAAGGCAATCCAGAAACGCAGACAATCAAAAGAAAAAATTGATGATATCCTCCAAACTTTATTAGATTCTACATATAAGTAAGTGTTGTCCACATGAGATATTTAGTGAAAGTGGGAAATTACACATTAAAACATGGTTAAATAATATTTCCAGTTAAAAGATAGGGAGGTTGACAAAGTAAGTTTGTAACCGTGACCTTTGGATTTTAGATTGTTGAAACATAAATTACTGGGACCTCATTATTAACTAGAATCCCAGTGACTGAGCATGGTGACAACTTTTCATGTTTTCCACTGTCAGTCTCTTCCTGGGGCAAGGTGGGGGATTCTGATATAGGGTAGGTAGATGAAAGCAGCTGTTATGCCTGAAAAATATATTCTGGCGGAGACATGAAATGTGTTGGCCCAAATGTTCAGTTTCTGTGTGTTCATTCTGCAGAGATGGGCGTCCTTTGACAGATGATGAAGTAGCAGGGATGCTTATTGGACTGCTCTTGGCAGGGCAGCACACATCCTCAACCACCAGTGCCTGGTTGGGCTTCTTTTTGGCCAGAGATAAAATGCTACAAGAAAAATGTTATTTAGAACAGAAAACAGTATGCGGAGAGGACCTGCCTCCATTAACCTATGACCAGGTTTGTTGGATTTTATTTCATTTCTGTACCATAATGTTTAGCAGCTGTGGCTTGTCTATTTTAAAAGACAAAGGTTTTTTTTTTTTAATACTTAATTAGGGTTATCTGTGTTTTAGGAAATTTCCTATAACATTACCCTGGTCACATTCTCTTCCTGTTGTGTATTTTGGTCCTGAATTAGTATGACATATGACATGGATTTTTTTTCAGATGTTGATGCTTGTATTCCTGGAATAAATCTTACATCATAGAGTATACAGTGTGTCCTTTCTCTTTTCCTTCCTCCATCTCTCTCTCTTCTTGTTTTTTTTTTTTTGAGACAGGCTGGTCCTGAAGTTGCTGTGTTGCTTAGGCTGGCTTTGAATTTAACAGCTATCCTGCCTCAGACTCCCCAGTGCTAGGATTATAGCTGTGTGCTACCATGCCTGGCCTTCTTCCTTTCTCCCTTCCGTAACTTCCTCCTTTTTTTCCTTGTCCTTTTTGTGTATGCTGAATTTTATTTGCTAATATTTTGAAAATTTTTTACACTGTATTAAAAAAAATCAGGAAATACATTTTTATCTTCTTATACTACTACAAACCTTGCTTTTCTTGCCAGTATTCACTTTTGTTTCTTGAATCAACTCTCCTTTAGATTGTTAAAAGCCGTTGGTTGATTTTCGGGAGTTTTGAAAAAGTTGAGATTGGTGGTTTTTGCTAATGCTCTTGTTTTTTGGAGGAGTGAATCTCCTTTGTCTTCCATGCTGTTTTTCAGGGTGATTGCCCCTCTTGCTATTATCTTGCCTTTTTTCCTTTGTTGAAATTGGGCATTATAGTCCAAACCTCAGCCATCTTGAGCCAGTTGTCTCTTCTCTTCAATCCAGAGTGAAACCTGTCTTATAGTAATCAAGATGTTAAAATAACATTTTTATACTGTTGAGTATGTTAAGTATTTGTAAAGAATCAGGAAATAATTTTTCTTTTTAGCTCAAGGATCTAAATTTACTTGATCGCTGCATAAAAGAAACATTAAGACTTAGACCTCCTATAATGACCATGATGAGAATGGCTAAAACTCCTCAGGTAAGTCTCTTGCGTAGATTGCTCCTTCTGTGCCCCTGGTTTTTATTGATCAAACTTAGGAGATACAATGGTATCAAAGAGAAATTTCTTGAAAAAAAAATCACTTCTACATAATGTTAAATTTTATACTAAATATATGGACATTTTAATGGCAGATACTATATATATGCCTATCTCTAATGCTGTTTTCTTTTTTTTTTTTTTTTTTTTGTCTTTTTCCTTTTTATCGGTACCGGGGATCGAACTCACGACTGCCCGCTTTCAAGGCAGGCGCTTATGCCGCTGAGCTAAACCTCCAGCCCCTGTTTTCTTAATTCTCATTTAACAATTGAGTTTTTAAAATGTCATTTAAAATTGACATTTTTTTTGGTTTTAAAAATAACATTTTGTTGTAAAACAATTTAATCATATGAAGCATTGAAATTAGGTAGTGAAAGGCCCTCTGAAATGCTGCCTACCTCTGAAGCATTATGGATTTGTGTACATTGGTCCAACTCCTTGTTGGCTTACTTGGAGATCATTAGAGTAATTTTTAGCTGGTTTGTCATGTGGCTGGATTAGTTATTTGGCAAAATTCTCTAATGCAGTGTGTTGCTTGCATTTGTAGACTGTGGCAGGGTACACCATTCCCCCAGGACATCAGGTGTGCGTTTCTCCCACTGTCAACCAGAGACTTAAAGACTCCTGGATAGAGCGTCTGGACTTTAATCCTGATCGATACTTACGGGACAACCCAGCATCAGGAGAGAAGTTTGCCTATGTGCCATTTGGAGCTGGTAAGATAAGAGTTTTGGTTTGAAACGTTTTTGTTCTGATAACATTTGTCCCTATCAGCATAATGCATGTGAATTTTTTTTACAAATGTCTTTCACTTTGGCTCTGATTACTGCCTCTGGCATCACCAGGCTTTTTCTATTTTGGTTGTTCTTGTGACTTCATATGGCCTCCCTATAAGGGCCTACCCTAAATCAGTGTGACCCCATCTTAATTACATAAAGATCATTTCCAAATAAATTTATATCCTGAGATTCTTGATGGACTTGAATTGGGAGCAGGGGGTATAGAACTCAAAAGTTAAATAACCCCAGTTTCTTTTTTTTGAACTCATGACTGCCTGCTTGCAAGGCAGGCGTTTATGCCACTGAGCTAAATCCCCAACCCCCATAACCCCAGTTTCTTTCAACAGTTTTTTGTTTTTTTTTTTTTTTTGCGCTTAGGCCACTGAGCTAAATCCCCAGCCCATCTTTCAACAGTTTTTAAAGAGGCAAAGCTTGTTGTGTTGCCTAGACTAGCTGCAAAGTCCAGGCTTTAGCACTTCTGTTGTTTTAGCCTTCTCAGTAGCTGAGACCTTACCTGCAAACCACTATTCCTTACTTCAACCATTTTGTACTTTGTAGTAAAGCTGTTTATCTATATTGGTGTGTATAACTTTAGTTCATCTATTTTCATGTTGCATTTTGTTAAATCATCAGACATTACCAAAATTTGTTGATTGAGTTTAGCATACTTCCAGTTTTTTTGCTATTAAAAATAACCCTTTGTGGGGCTGGGGCATACGTAGGATGTTATTTTCTTCCTTGGTTTGCTTTATGGATGTGAAAGATAATCAGATAACCATAAAAGTATTTCTGGGCACTCTGCTATGTTCCCTTGATGTATTTCTTGATCCTTATACAGTACCACACTGGCTTGGTTGCTGTACCCTTAGTCTTGAAGTCAAACGTGGCCAGTTTTAATTCCTCCAGTATGGTCTATTTTGAAGATTGTTTTGCGTCTTCTAGGCCTTTGTATTTCCTTGTACATGTTAGAACAAGTTTGTCAGTTCTGGTATGACTTTTCAAATTTTGACACTAGTAAATGTTATTTTTGAATTTATTAAATCTTCCATAGTGGCATTTTAAGGTTCCTGGCCCCTTTTTGTTCTCATGTATCTGCCATTTATTTTACTTTACATTTTATATTTTGACGCAAGGTTTTGCTGAATAGTTAGGCTGGCCTCAAACTTAGAGCAGTCCTGTTCCCTCTGCCTCTGAAGTGCTGAGATTACAACTGTACACCACTGTGAGGTTTTGATTGAAAGGTTCATATTGACTTTCAACTAGGGTTCTCTTGGGAAAGGAATTGAGAATGTTCCAGTACATTTCCAAACTAGAATACTATCTTATGATTCAAACTCAGATAGTTTTTAAATTTCAAAGTCATTAGAAAAAATCATGAGCCAAGTGCTGTTTTCTTAAAAACACTGAAAATATTCTGGAGCTTTAACCACTTACATTTTTATTTTATGTGAAAGATGTCTGAATATTTGCTCAAATGTGGTCAAATAAATTACTCCAGGCTTTTCCCCTATGGTATATACATTCAGACCCACACATTGACAAATTTTTCAAATATCTCCTACTATTTCTAATTATTATAATGATTTTAGTTATAGCAAATAACCAGTTCCAACTTTTTATTGGCTTAGAGTGAGTTGGAATTGTATTTTTTTTTACTAATTGGATGATGATATGGTTGAACGGACACAAATATAGCAGCACTCCAAGCAGTCCTGTATGACCGAGTTGGAGATACTGGATTTGTAGTATCCATGGCATAACTCATACATTTTAATTCATGAGAGTTATAACAATTGTTTGTAACGTAAGACAAAAGAATTTAAGTTTTTGATGAAAACTTTTTTTTTTTTTTAAACAGGGCGTCATCGTTGTATTGGGGAAAATTTTGCTTATGTTCAAATTAAGACAATATGGTCCACCCTGTTTCGTTTATATGAATTTGATCTTATTGATGAATATTTTCCTGCTGTGAATTATACAACTATGATCCACACTCCTGAAAACCCTGTTATCCGGTACAAACAGAGGTCAAAATGAAGAATGCCACAATGAACTAACGGGACAGCAGTGTAAGCTGCAGATGCATCCGGAGAGAATGAAGTTTACAAAATAACACTCAGCGTGCCGTGTTTTTAATTCTAAAAACAAGTTTTATGATTTTAATATTAACTGATCTATCAAATATAGTAGTATTTGAAATGTTATATAATAGTTTTGATACTTCCGTGTACTTTAAGGAAGCCAAATTAGTGAAAGGAACTGTTTTCTAAGTAATTGGCCGATTCTAAGTAGTAATACGAATTTTAAAAGCATATAGACCTCTTGGCAAGTTTATTCAGCAGAGTCAGGTCTGGGACCACTTCTGCAAGGTACAAAGAGCCCAAGAATACTTGGAAGAACACAAGTTATTCATTTACCTTGGTAATTTTTATGTGTAAGGATGGGAGAGTAAGAATGAACTCACAGTGAAAGCCTTGGATAGAAAAGAATACCATTAATTGTTTTGGTATGAAGATAGATACCAGTGATGGGACTATAATGCAGAAAAATAAATTCTCTGAATTTTAATTGGGAACACTATTGGAAATAGAGAAATCTAAGTTTGTTCCTTGATAATATTTCCTAAAAATAAATTAACATTAAAGGTTGCTTGAATTTTAATATAATTGCTAAATATCAGCTATTTCTCATCTGCTAAATAATGCATATTTCTACAAGGTCGTATTTGTATAAAAGTCCTCAGTGGGTAGTTATTTCCTCCTTGGCTCAAGGTTGTTCCCTGTCTCCTCTCCAAAATCCAATTTGGGGTGTTTCTAGTACTGCTACTTTTGATTCAGTTTGTTTTGAACTGAGGACTAAAGAACACAGCAGTGTACTAGGTACTGTGCTTCTCTGTGTAAAATACAGATTCATTGGATGGTTCACTGGTTGCATTTTGAAGCCTGTATTTGGGAATGAGCCTAACTGAAATATACTGGCAGCCTAACTACGTGAGATAATTGCATTTTGACCACATGATCCATTTTTACCAGATGCAGCCAAAATGTTTTCCTGTGTGTATGCTACATTCTGTTGAATGAGGCTGGAAGACTCATGTTAGACTCTTGTGAAAGCAAAATCTTCACTATTTTTTGCATTAAAATTCTCTTTGAGAAAAATTGTTTATGAAGTGTGTACTTCAGTGAGTAGAACTGGGGCATCCTGGAATCTGGATGGGGAAAATTATGTCTTGCACTATTTTTCTTTTTACACATAGCTCTTGTTCACTTATTTTAAAGGCACAGTTGTCTGCCTTGGAGAAACATGATTTATTTACAGGTAGATATTACACATGATCCAGTTTTGACAGCAGTGATAATGTCTTCTTAGGTTTCTTTGGGGGAAATTATCAAGAGTAATATTAAATATGCTGGGTTAAGAGAATAGTTTTTTAAGATATTTTGTCCTCTAAGTGGCTATATCAGTTACATTTCCATCAGCAACTTGTGAGTTTCTACAAATTTTTCATTGTTCGTTGAGACAGTTTAGTTACATCTTGTATACTAATTTTTTTTTTTGGTACTGGGAATCAAACTCAGGACCTCAAATGCAGGTGCTGTGCTGCTGAGCTCGATAAGTTTTAAAGTCTGACAGATTTTTGTGTTGGTTTCCTTTGCAATGCTGCATGTTTTATTTCTTTAAAAGCACTATTATGAAAAAGGATCTATACGTTCACCAGACTGAAGAGATTTCATAGCACAAAAAAGTAAAACCTGAATGAAGGTTAGAAGGAAAACTGGTGGATAGTTTCAGATATCCACCAGTTACTAGGGGAGGATTCCTGGGTAATCGAATCTCTTGGAGCCTAACTTACTAATATAGGAAATTTGAGTAATTAGAGACATTGAAGAATGTAGCAATGTACTAGGTACTGTGCTTCTTTGTGTTGAATATAAATAATAAGACATTAGATAAGAAAATCCTTTAAATGTTAGTGACCGGTATTACTGCTGCTTTAGTGAGAGGCCACAAGGCTGGGAAAGACTTAAATAACAGGTAACAGTGGCACTTGTGTTACCTCTGGGAACCTACCAGTCTGAATTTGGCTTGGCAGGTATATTTAATTCTGTAACATTATGATCAATACAATTTAAGATTCTTTAAGCTAAATGACCTCTGTGTCTTAATAGGCCAAGACATTTACATCTTTGAATAGAAGAAATACTAAATACAAAAGAGCAAATATGGATTAGTCACACGAATACCATTAAAATGTAGTATTTCCCATAGATTAAAAACATACAAAAACAAATGGAAAACTTTCTTCATTAAAGGCACAGAAAAGCCCTAATACCTACTTCACGAATTAGGGCAATAACCACAGGACAGGCATAAAGAAGTATGGCTCAGTTATAAAATAAAGAAGATTCAAATACAGAGTTGTGAAAATGGTGAAGTCATTTTTATTTCAGTACTTGACAAAATACCCCATAAAATTCAAAACTTCTACCATTATACAAAAATAGGTCTCTACACAAGTATATGTTCTGTCTTCATCACCAGTACCAAATATATTAGGCAGAAACATGTAACTTCAGTAGCCTTGTAAGGAAAGTGCCAGACACCGCAAGCTACACTTCCAGCAGTATCATAATTTGCAAGTTTAATCTTTTTACCCATCTGATAAATACACAAGATTCATAATTTAATCATTTAAATTAGCATTCCACAAATATACATGTAATGATTATTGTGCATGAATACATACACAACAGTTATATACACAAATTCCAGTTTTCATGTGCTGGCAAGGGATTTGTATACAATCTTGAGCTGTGTTTATAATGGTCCCATTGAATATTCACAATACAAAAGCACAAAAGAACCATTGATATACAAAAGAATTTCTTTAAAATCACTTCATTTAAATGATTTGAAGAATCATCTTCTCATGCCAGTATGAAACTGAATAGTTGACCCTACAAGAGAAAAACCAATCATTTCAATGATTTCAAATTGTACTACTTACTACCGATACCAGGCAGATTCACATAGAACAGATTACTTTTATCCAGCACTAAAAAAATGCTTTCTTGGGGCTGAGGATTTAGCTTTCTGACAGTGCCTGTTTGGCAAGCATGAAATCCTGAGTTTGACTTCCAGTACACCCCTGCCTCTAAAGAAAGCTTTCTTGTCCTTAAAATATCATTCATATTTGAACTAACTTTAAAAGAGATTCTGATTATGTATTTAAAAGTCACCATGACTGGCTCAAGGTAAGAAAGACTAATTTTGGTACTGGAGATTGAACTCATGACCTTGCGTTTGCCAAGCAGGCACTTAGGCGGCTGAGCTAAACCCCAGCCCTAGAAAGACTAATGTTAAGAAGTTCTACAAAGTGCTTCTGGAAGTTGAATCAGCTTGAAAAATTGATCCAGGTCCTATTGCTTCTCAGCCTTTTGGCTAAGATCAAGGACATCTGGGTCTTAAGAACTTTGGATGCTGAAAACAAAACAAGCCAAACCACCAAAAAACTCCTCAACTATGGCATTGTTTCCTATTACTACAGAGAACCTGCTATTAGTCCAAGTTTGTGAAGTTAGTAGAAAAAAAACTGCTTAATACAGTTAGACATGACAGCACAACCACTTAAAAATCAGTCCCTGGATCAAGAGTAAATGAGATTAGGGGCTGGGGATTTAGCTCAGTGGTATAAGTGCCTGTGCCTTGCATGTAGGCAGTCGTGAGTTCAATTCCCGGTACCAGTAAAAATGAAAAAGACAAAAAAAAAAAATGTTAGTATAAAAAGAGTAAATGAGATTAGAAAATGAGATTTTTCAAAAAATGAATGGGGAATTCATCTGTATTATAGTGACGTTGTACTACAAAAATGACATTTTTGAGGACAGAAAAATAAAGGGACCATTCTTTTTTTAAAAGCCAGTCAAATAATTAGCAGTGGGGGGGGGTGGTGGTGGTATACCAACTTTAGTGACACTAATGTTAATAAGTTCTGATAACCCACTGCCATCGGACCAGCCTAGGGATCGTTCTTATAAGGTCTTTTAAATGGAACATTCTTTAGTATCCATGAGTGCAACAGAGCAGTAGGGGTGCTGGCTGCAGGAAGTGTTAAAGGCAGCCAGTGCCTTAGCACTTTGTATCATTCGTTCCTTATTTCAGAAACCTGTTCCCCAGTCGACTAAAATGTGGAGTGCCTTGTGTACTGCATTTTGTCTGATCACTCTGCTGCATGAAGACAGCAGGGAATCATTTTAGGGCAGAATAAGATTCTGGGTGATAAGTTAGGTCATTCTTTGAAGGCTCTACAGATTATACAGTTTTAAGCTTTGGTTAACTTGGTGACTTGTCTACTGAAAGATTTGAGAATCTTAAAAAAGTGAAGGTCAAACAGTTTTAGAAAGGAAGGAGAGCTGTGGGTCTGGCATTATGGTGCTACCAATAAGCAAGTAAATGGAATACCTGACTGCACAGTTCCAAGGCGTCTTTGTAATGCCTCGAGCCGAGTGATGTAATCTGTTAGAGCTCTGTCAGGATCATAATTCTGAAGCTGAGAACATGCTAGGGAACTGGGATTTAAATCAGCTGGAGTGCCTGGGTACCTAAGGATTAAAAATGTATATAAAATCTAAATTATCCAGAAAAGACAACTAAGTTACCAGCTTGTCTCCATTCCCTGCTTCAAAAGGTAGGCCATTTATACACTGCCTGACCTATATTCTCCAGGCTTCTCAGTTTGAGATGACAAAAAACTCAACAGATTCAAAGAAACTACCAATGTCATAAAGAGTGCCCAGTGCAATGCTTCTCAGTGATTCTCAGAAAATCTTAGAAAATTCTTAGAAAATGAGTCTTGTGCAGACTGTTAGGATTTTCACAAGGCCAGTAACACCAATTTTAGTCAATAGTTTATCCAAAGTCAAAACCATTTACACATTCAAAAACTATAGCTTTCATTCTGAGCCTTGGGTTACATAAACTACATATAGGTAAAGATGTATAGCTATTGCAATGCAAGGAAGTAAAAGCCCTAACAGTGTCCATCTTTCTTTGTTAAATATTAATGTACTTATTCCAGTCAGGTTAGATCAAATTCTTACCTATTCTGAAATGGTAAAGGAGACCTGGGATATTCCAGATCTGATCTTGAGCGATATGTTGTATGTCTTTGTTCTCCATACAGCTCCAGCCCACCAGAAGAATGATAAAATGGGTCTGTCTTTTCAGTACCTAAAGTAACCCAAGATGTATAATTATAAAGAAAGAAAACCCCATGTCCTAGTTATAGTCATTTTCCATTTTTGCTAAAAGAAGTAACAGTGCAAGCAAAAATTTGACCTACTAGCTTTGAACACAACACATAACTCACTATGGCAAACATGTTAGCTGTTGCAATATGATAATGTGTACTTCAGAGTACCTCCAGGATACCAAATACACACATTTCCCTTTCTCTGTTGCTTAACTACTGGCAGACTATATAAAGGCGGCTTAATACCAACACAGGGTGAGTATGCAATGCCCTCTAGCTCTGTGTATGCTCCAGCTGATCCTTATGCCCAAAATGTTTAAGTCTCATGTACTACTCCTTCCTCTTAGGTGTGTAGAGAAAGAATTTTAACTGTCACTGTGCAACCTACTAATAAACTCAACAGCTGTCTGAAAATTGCTAAACGATGGAAACAAACTAATTATTTCACCTGACTAAGCAACCCTTTCTTGCTTAAAATGCAGGCGAATCACTGGCTTGAGCCAGAACACCAGGGTTTGGTCCTGGCTCCATTACTTCCCTCGGGAGTAATCTGGGGCCAATGACGTGTTTTCCATAGTTTGGTTTCTCATTTATGCTGTGAGAGTAAGAGTGACTGTAGACTGGAAGATTATACACAAGAGCGAGCCTTGGTGTAGACTAACTGATCCATAAAAATGAGCTGTTAATATCCTTTTTAAAAAAGTGTGGTCCCCAACCTTGTTAAAGAACATGTCTCTGGGCAACCCTGGCTCTGGAATTTATTATTTAGAAAATATTATACTTGTAGTAATTTTAGAGTCATAAATATAAGAAAATATGCTATTATGAATTCACCTGAATGTAGTCCAAAGCCATCTCTGTTAATATTGATGGAACCAGAACCTGTGACTCGATGCCACCGACGAACCAAGAATTTCATTCTAAAAAAGATCCCAAAATGAAATGTCACAGCACATCAATAAAGCATATATGTACCTTCCACAAAAACTGTCAGTTAAATATGTACACAGAGCAAATTTAAGTAGTATCATATGATCCCCTATTCTAAAACTACATGAATATCTGTGGTTTATAGCAAAAATAACTGCAAGAAAACAATGTTGCAAGCTCCCCTAACACTTTTGCAAGGGCCAGGAGAGGTCACCAACGTACTTACAACTTCAGGGATAAATGAGTTAAGATGTGGGGCAAAAAGAGTAATGAGAACAGAAGGCAGAATCAAAGATGAGTAGAGAACAAAAAGACCCTTAAATTGGTGATGAGAGTAGGCTGGACTAGCTACAGGATGAGGTCATACCATCAGCACAAAAACAGTGCTATCCCAAAGGAATGGGCTTCTTAAGTGTCATGAGCTAGCAAGGTAGCTGCTTGGGTCACTGGACCTGCAGAATATATTGGAGTATCAGCTTTGATTTCTTAATTCTAGTTTTATAGTTTAGGTTTTTTTGAGACAGGATCTTGTGATGGAGTCCAGCTTGGTCTCAAACTGTGGCAATCCTCCAGCCTGCTCCCGAATGCTGGGACTGCAGACTGTGCCAGCATACATCATTAAGTTCAGTTTTAGGAAGGTCAAAATACAATGAACATAAAAGAGGACAAGAAAATGGGTGGTAGAGTAGCAACTTTTATAGTGCTTCCATGGAGCCTCCTCAAATTCCTCTAATCAAGATGATTGATGAGCTCCTGTGACCTCCATGGGGACTTTTCTAAGCCACTGCAGAGTCCTTCCCCACAAGAAAGTGTGGCTTCCAGGCAGACACTAGTGTGTCTCATCACTGGCTCTCTTAGCACTCAGCCCATGTTCCCACCAGCCAAGGTGATGAAGGGAATGTGAGGGAGGAGAGTGGGAGCTGTGTGACTAATGTGGAGCACAATGGTGGGGAGGGTGGGAAGCCAATGATGAGACACAAAAATGATGAGACAGCATGAGCGGAGCTTGGGGAAACTAGCTGGTTACCTGATGGGCTTATTACCTCCTTCGCCTCTTTCTTCACTGTGAAGTGATGCTCTGGACTAGATAATCTCCCACACCTTCCAGTTAAGAAGTGTAATGTATTTTTATTTGAAAAAAAAAAAAATAAGAGCAAAGGCTCTTAAAGCAGCATCCAAAGTGATCTAGCAGGTACACGTATGAAAAACAAACCTGCTTTGGCCCTCTGGCCCTGGACAGGGAGAGGGAGGAGACCCTTGCAGGAGCTCAGTGTCTGCCACGCCCTAGGCAGGCCAGGATGCCAACGATCTTGGAATCTTCATTCCCTTTCAACCACAGAGAACAAACAGCAAACCTGCCAACTTAAAGCTGCCAGGAAGGCAACAGAAACTCCAGCAGAGTTGCTGCCCTGAAGGCTATCAGCTTGGCAAGCATGGTCCTTGGCAGGTACCACCCATGAGTTAAGTATGCAGTGAGAAAACAAACACATGCCAGCCTCAAGAGGAAGCTTTCAAAAAGTTTTTTTCCTTCTGTGATCTTAGGTGTATGTCTAAACTAGTTCATGGTCTAATTCAAATTTGATTTAAGATCTCGGATTAGATGTGCCTGCTGAGTCACCAACCACAATACTGGGTTTACTCAATGCAGCTAAAGAATCCCTGCTAGAAGCACAAAAGGCTAACGAGAAATAAGCAGGACTGTTTCAGTGAGAGTAAACGCCTCTGTACAAACAGCCTTTGATAGAGTCGACCAGTAAAGTGACTTTACCTGGAAATTGCAATGCACACTCTGACAGCTGAACGGAACCTGGTGAAGGCCCTGGGGCGATTGGTGATCACCTCGAGGTCTGTAAAGGCTGGCTGTCCCCCCATGCGGGCAAGCAGTGCAAGGGTGGCATCCTCACACTCTTGGAACCCACCCAGTAACAGCAGCAGGTATTTCTTCTGATAAATAAGAGCTTTGCGAAAACCTTCGGCCCTCAAGTATTTACCATAAATCCTCTGTGTTTACAAAAGAAAGAACAAAAAGACATTACTGTCATTCAAATTGTTCTCTAGGGAAAGACAAGCGATGTTAAAAAGCCTGAAAGCCAGTGTCCTCTCACGGTTTTCCACTGTAACAGCAAAGTTGAAAGTGAATATAATTACTTTTATACTTAGTAATGGAGTGTGAGTACCATCTTTATAGTTATGCTTTTTATTTTGAGCTCATTATATCTATTGGCTATAAGTTTTTAAAAATTACATGGAGCTACTTTACTAATTTGGTCATTTATCTACTTAGTTCTTTTAATAACTTAATGCTTCTTGTTCATTTGTCACACATTTATGTTCATTCCATAGTTCTAACAAATACTTCAAATAGTTCAAGTTGCTGATTAAGGTAGCTTTACCACAGTGTCTATTCTTAGACATCAGAGGGGCTACTTGGAAGGCTTCTTGTCCTATGGGGCATGATGCTCTTATGCTGACAAGTACTGCTTTGGTTAGCTGAAAAGAGAACATTTTGAATCTATTACAGGAAGAAACCATAGGAAGCAGGACCGTGAGCTCTTGGTGCTACCACTGTGACAATGAACAGAGCTTTACTGGGTCCAGTCCTTGACTTGCTAACTCTACAGACCTTCCAGAAGCCTTGCAATCACAACACAGACTGAATAAACAGACCTAGACACCTGAGTGCCACCTCCATTTCTTTAGTCTAAACAGTTAAGGTCAGGAGAGATGAAACAAGGCAAAACAGAGAACAGTCTATAGCCTGAAGAGGTATCCTACCTTTAAGGTGGCATGTTCAGAATCATGGCTCAGATTCTGAAGTACATTATCATTTCTTAGTTCAGCTTTCAGTTTATACACTTCTGCTTCTGCCCTTTTCAAGGATTTCTGGAGAGTCGATTTCTCTCTGTTCCATACTTCTTTTTCAGATGCAATGATGGCATCAATGTTGGCCCCACCACCAAATGAAAACCTAGAAGACTAGAGACCACATCCTTCTTACATGATTTTTAAAAATGAATCTTATGAAGAAAAACTGGAATTAATCATATTAAAGGTATCCTACAGTGGATGCCTATATCAGCTGTTTAATCTCAGGAAAGCTCAAAGCCAATCTAAACTGACATTTAAGAGATGTTTTAAGTACATGCTCCTTTGCTGAGCAGAATGCCTAGCCAGAGAAAGCTTAACTTTAGCAGAGCTCTGAAACAAAAAGGTCAAGAAAACTGAACATGTGGGTCACTGGGTCTAAATGCTGAGCCTGTACTCAGAAGAGGGCAGAAAATAACACCTCATGTACACAGCTAAATGGGTTGTTATGGAAACTGCTTGGCTAGGTTTCTATTTATTTGTACAGTTTTCTTACTGGTCCTTCTTGTCTATCAACTGATTACAGAAACCAATTATTTTGCAGCTTTTAACTTTTTATCGGTACCGGGGATTGAACTCTTATGACCGCCTGCTTGCAAGGCAGGTGCTTAGGCCGCTGAGCTAAATCCCCAGCCCCTATTTTGCAGCTTTTAAGCTGGAAAAAATGTAAATGCCCAGAGTATTTTATTAGGGTGAAATAGTTTAACAGCATCCTTCACCTGAGTAGTAAACACAGTAACTGCAAGTGTAATAAAAAAAGCAATCAGGACCTTAGGGAGCAATGTATCTAGATTAGGAGTAAGCAGACTTCAGTTGATTATAAGTTTAGTTTAGTTTTCTCACCTATAAGGCTGGATGTGGATTAGATTCTGCACGTATATAACCCTGTGTCTAATACAGAGAAGGCTTTCTTCAAAACAACAGCTTTTATTATTCCTGTCACCCCTATAAAATTTTCCACAGATGGTATTATAGATGTTTTTATATCTCAGAGTCAGAAACTTGAAACCAGACAAAGGAACAGTAACTTGGCACTGCTTTTAAAAATGACGTACACAATCTCCAGCAGCCTGTCTGTAGCACCTTATCCGATCTTCTAGCTTCATAACTGTGTTCCGCAAACCATTCTTTTCTTCCGTCAGCTGGCTGATATGTCCTGTCAGCTCAGCATTCTGTCTCAGCAGTCTTTCAGTCAATGAGCCACAAGAAGCACTTTGGGACACTAAGCTGGGCTGGGAAAATAACATGGCAGTAACTGGTCGTGTAAGTACAAATGTCCATGAATACTGTGTGTGAACGTGTGAAGAGGTAGAGAGAAGCCCATTTCATGAACCAGTGCTTTGTTAACTAATAGGGAGAAATGTATCAGGCAGCAAAGAAACTAGCGAAGGGCATGGTAAGCAGCAGGGTGATTAAAGACACAAAGGCTCATTCAAAAGTGCTATGTTTAAGTTATAAGTTGCTTGATGAAACTAGAATAAATGTTTCAATTTGTGGATAATAGACTTTAATGAAGGCAATAAACTTCAGTGAAGGCAATCCAGAAGACTTTAGGAAGCAGTGTGCCACAAATAAAGTTTATGTGCTAGAAAGATTCCTTTGGCAGCAGGATGCACAACAGTGTAAGCTCGGGAAGATTTAGGGAAGGTATCTTCCAGTGTCAGGCATGCCCACAAGCAAGCTGTTATAATAGTGCTACTAAGAAATCCTAAAAAGTGGAGGCAGCAATGGGCACAGGAGACAGACATGTTAGGAGGTGAAAGGCACACGATTTGAGGACTGCTTAGCTGTGCAAGTAAGGGTAAAGCAAGGTAGACTACAGTGAGGTCCAGCGTTCTAACTGGGACGATAGCATTAACACGAAGGCTAGGGGAAGATAAAAAGTTTGGAGCATACAGGGTTTCTAAGGGATCATTATGGGGTACAAAGAAAAGAAAGACACCTAGTAACGAACTGAAATTATAAGCCTGAAGCACAGGTCAAAGGTCTACACTAGAACCCTAGTCCATGGGACAGTGATCTCCGTATGGCTATGATTTGTCAAATTTATTCATTTTATTTCCAGAACACAGTACAGTACTTGAGACACAGTATGGTGCATTTCAAGTGTTTGTTCAATAAATCAGTTCAATGAAGGCTATGGGAATGAATGAGTTTTAGAATACACTTAAAAAAAACATGGATGATGACAGGGAAAGAGAAAACCATGAGGGTAACTGATTAAAGATGTAGATGCAATGAAAGAACACTGACACAAGAGACCAGCAAAGAAGGTTCTAAAAAGACGAAGGGCTTATAACTGTTCAGTATAATTAAACGAAGGCAGGAGGAAGAAGATTCAGCAGATGAATGAATCATGAAGACACTGGTATGATTCTGAGGATGGTTTCATGCAGTGGTGAGGGTAGAAACCACACTGTTCTAAGAATCTTAGTATTTTAGTAAAAGAGCACTGTAGCCAAGTGTGGTAGTACACACCTGAATCCCAGTGCTTGGGAGGGCATTGTATTTAAAATTAAAAAAATCAAAATTTTATAGAATATGCTGGCAATTTCAAACAATTCATATTTCCTACTGAGTCTTTGCTCTCTATGCTTTATAAAGACTTTTTAAAAAAGCCTTACCTCTTCACCTGGCTGGTCAATGAATTTCTGTAGTTGTAAAATAATTCCATCAATATTTTCCTGAACCCAGATGAAAGTTTCATCATCTGCTGTTTCAAACTGTAGCCTTTAACAAAAAGACAGAGTTATGAAAGACTTTCTCCAGCTTGCTTATTAACACAAATATTACAGACTGGGGAGACTTCACTTATCACTGATGTTGAGTCTTCCCTAAGTGCAGGTATTATTTTCAGCTCTTCCCATGTAAACAAGCATTACCTTCACACCTAGTTTCCTGCCCTGGCCAGCTACTCCTGCAGGGCAGTGTCGTCTAGCCTAAGAACACTGTGTCAAAGACCAGGCAGGCAAGCTAACCTGTTAGAGGCTTTCTGGGACAGATGTTGCAGGCTCGAAGCTGCACGCTCAAGCTTCTGTCTGACCACTTCTAATTCATGATTGTAGCCAGTTTCCTCTCCATTCATTACAGTCAATTTAGGATAGTTTGATTCTTTTGTATCTCCTTCTATCTTCTGTTGAAGGACCCAATTTCGAGTGCGATCGTTAGTGAAGCTCCAACTGGTTGGCTGGCAATTTTGGACAGAAGAAGAAATAATTATTATAAACAAATAGCATTAAATATTCTTTCTTAAGGGAGCAGAAATATTTATATTCCAAATAAAGTTCCACAGAATTCATTTTAAATGATTTGCACATAAACTAGTTGAATAATTTAACCCAATATAAAAATTTTATAGTCAAAGGGCTTTTAGAGCTCCTTAAAAGTATTTAAAAATAAAGTATCAGTTCACCTCATTAAGATTCTGATACAGGATTCGCCTACTTTCTCTTTTTTCTTCTCGTTCTAGTTCTTGCTTTTGGAACTCCTGCATAATTCCCTGTAGTCGCTTTCCTTCAAGGTCTAACTTATAGACTTGCTGCCTTTTCTCTTCCAGCTGGCGCTGAAGATCTTCCACCTTAGACTGGAGTTCATGCATCTTTTTCTGTCCCTCAGTGTTGGCCTCTTGTTCGGTCTGCAGTGTCTTCTTATGAACTTGTCTGTCTTTTTCCATCTGCTGTCTTGTTTGCAAAGAATCCAGTTTGTATTTCTCAGTCTCATTTAACAGTTCTACTATACGGCTGTGCTTCTCCTCCAGCTGTCTCTGCAGCTCTTTCAAGAGCTCCTCTGACGGCAGGGGTGGACGTGGCTGGCCAACCTCGTCACTGCTCTGCAGCTGGGCCCGCAGTTCCCGCTCCCTCGCCAGGACACCACTGAGCTCCTGAATTCGGATTTTCTCAGAATCAAGGAGCACTTGAAGCTCCAAGTTTCGGCCTTGTTCTTCTGCTAACTTGGCATCATAAAGAATCCTCTGTGATTCCACTTTCTGCTGTGATTCATTTAGCAGTTGTTTCTGTTGCTCCAAAAGTAGATTTAGCTGAGTGTTCCTTTGTTTCTGATCCTCAAGTGAAAATTTCAGATCCTTGAGAGAAAACATCCAACTTAAGTACTTATTAATATTACTAAAGATACTTTGTAAGTATACAACCATACTTTTATTAATACTAAATTGGTAATACTTAGATGTTACCCAGTTTATTAATTTAAATTTTAAGTGGTTACAACATAATTATTTAGATGCCAATTGATTTTCATCAAGGAATATAAACAAGATAGAATAACACATTTCTCTTAAAGCATTAAACTTATCTACTAAATATGACCTGGTATGTTTCTTTTTTTCTTTCTTTTTCAGATGGTGTTACTATGTAGTTCAGGCTGGCCTTGAACTCATTATGAAGCCCAAACTCCCAGGGATTCTCCTGCCTCAGATTCCCGCATACTGGGATTATGGGTGTGTCACTACACCTGGTGTCTCGGATACATTTCTAACAAAGAGCGTCAAAAATTATAAGCATTCTTGTGATACTTTTCAACCATATTAATGGTATTTTTTTTTAACTGTTAGGCACTTACGTGTAAGTATATGAAAATAATCGCTTAACAGTAAAACATACATGTAGAATCTAGAATGATGGCGATTTCAGACAGCTATCGACTAGCCCACAGGGGTAGCTAAAATAGTGATACTTCTACTTTTATACACTACTAAACCACACTATATAAAATTTCAAAAACATGTTTCCAGTAGAAAAATGGTACAAATTCCTGAAAAATCTTCTGTTTTTCAATTTCAGAGGCTAAAAATAATAAATCTGATACAGAAAGGGGATCTAAGACAAACTACTAAAAATCAATGCAAACTTTTAGTAAGAAATAGGTAGTACTTGAGGGAAGTAACACATCCCCCTCGTGGAGGTTACCACAGTAGAAATTAAAAAGTGATCAAGCAAAAAATATGGCAAAAGTCTTGAAAGTGTTTTGGCTGCTGAGCTGAAGCACACTGCTTTGTGTGACAAGGAGGCATGCGTGGGGCTGGAGGCTGCGGCCACAGAGGACCTTCCATGTGGGCCAGCCTGTCCTGAGCAGAGAGCTATGTGAGGTAGGGTTACCTCTCTGGGAAAGCCAACTGCTTATTTCAAATTTTTTAAAAGTATAGCAGGAATGACTCCTGGGCACCACAAAAGTAGCCCTGATCCCATTCTCTAGTCTGCCACAATGGCCTGCAGAGCCTCTGTCAGCACATGAGCCAAGCTGCCCCAGCAGTTGAACACTGGATGACAGTTTTTGTTCCTGAACTAAAACCTCAGTATCAGGTTTAATTGTAGTGTTGGCACTCTGCAATGAATAAATGGGTCCTGGGTTGCAGAGTGGGCACTTGTTTCTAAGATGTTTGCCATCACTGCTGTAGGAGAAAACAGAACAAAACTACTTTTGCATTCTGAGTGCCCTATTTAGCAAACTGGGTGTTCACTAATTCATATTCCCAAAATAAAGTGCCCCAGAGCAATCTGTATGTGTCCTTGGATGCAGCAAATAAAGATTAAATCACCAACATTTCCTCATCATATCATTTAGATAATCCCAAAGCAGTATTTAATGCAAATGAAAAACACGGTTTTTAAGGACTTCTAGTGCTGATATTTTAGGCAAAAGCCTGTCTCAAGAATGAATTCTCCTGAGACACAAAGACAATGATGGCAATACCTCGAGTTCGTCTTTTTCCCTCTCTTCACTGTGTCCCAACCTGGCTTTCTCTTTCTCCAAAGCCCACTGGAGCTCTCTTGATTTTTTCTGTTCACTTGCTAATGTGTCATTAAGCAAATGTACTTCATCTGTCTTATCTTTAACTTCCAATCTAAATCAAAAGAGACAAATGAACTGTCATCAAGTATGTCTTGAGCAAGAAAGAGAAAACAGTATACACCAAAAGCTGAGGCATACAGTGCACATTATAAACTAGCTAACAGGAAAATATAAAGTTTAAAGATTCTTGACTGGTTATTTCAGATTCTCTGTTTCTAATATTGGTAGAACAACTATGATTATTTACCATTGTAAAATACTACGCCATTTGCTGCTACAGAATAATTTTTTGTTGACATGGGGACTGACACCAAGGAATGTACTTTAACTACACTCCCAGTCCTTTTCATTTTTTGGTACAGGAGGCTCACTAAATTACACAGGCTGCCTTGAACTTACTACGATCCTTCTGCCTAATGCTGCCCAAGTAGATAGATTTATAGGTATGCACCAGGCTTACAAAATAAAATCAATAAAGTTTCTCCTTGTGTTTTACTAAACACAGGAATCATATGAATTCATGTGTGAAATCAATGTTCAAAATAAAAACACCTGTATTTGCAATGCGTTTTGACAAACAGAACACCTCAGTTTTTATATCAATGTATCCCTTTTTGCAAGCATTATCTTGAAATATTTTCCATAATTTGGCTAACTAAACCATTAATCACATTAAACATCATTTCAAGTTAGTATACAGTAAAATAAATGCCAAAATTATATCTCATATAGAAGTAAGGCCATAGTAGAGAATATGCCAAAAATAATCAGGAATTTACAACTGGAAAACATTTGGAATTTTTCTCCATGATTGTTTTTTTTGTAATTAACAAAGTTTTCATGCTATGTAAACATCATGAACAGTGTTTTAATTTTCTTTGCACAATGTTTACACAAAATTATTCTATTTCTTCCCTAATACAAATTTATAGTAAAGAAGCCGGAAGTTTAGCTCAGCAGTGTAAGCATCTGCCTGGCAAGTGCCAAGTCATAAGTTCGATCCCTGGGACCAAAAAAAAAAGAAGCCAGGCATACCTGAATGCTTCTAATTCTTTTAGGTGCTTATGCTGTGCCTTGAGTGTTGTTTCTAATTCCAATTTCGTTTGTGCAAGTTCACTTTTCAGCTCAGCAACAACCATCTTTTCTGAACTCAGCTGCTCCTGAAGTTCAGTTGCTTTTTCTTTCACATTGCTGAGCTCCATTTGCATCTCCAGAATTTGAGACTGCTTCTGTTGCATATTATATTCCAAAAGTTCTAAAGGGAATATGATTGATATTTAAATATTTCACTGCTAAGAATTGAGGAGACTACTATTGTAAAGCAACTGTGGAAGACTACAAAATTGGTACATTACATAATCTTTATGTATGTTTTCCTTTATGTATGTTTTCCTCAGTAGTGCTAGTGGCAGAAATTTCAGGAGTAGGCCTGGATCTGTGAGCTGTAAGAGGTGATGTGGGCCAAGTGGTGTGCACCACACCATGGCCCTCGCTGAGGCTGGGGACTGGGGTAGCCACAGTTCTTGTCCCAGGAACGATGGTCCTCAGTGTGCAGAGCACTTGGGCAGTGCTACTCCTGGGACAGCTACAGGTGCTGGTGCTTCAGGGGTCCCTTGAAATGCAGGAATTTCTAAATATGGACTTTTTGGTGCCTCTGCACAATTCCAGGCTAACCTAACACAGAATGTATTCTCCAAGGATAAGAGCAAATCTAAGAGCAGCAGCCATGTGAAAAGATTAACTATAGTTTTCCTAGATACAATCAATGGGACAAGGTGTCACCATGAAATTCACAGACTTCTAAACTGATAGCACTAATAATCTCTACAAATATAACTCTACAACCTCAAAGTATAATACTAAAGCACCAAGTGTTTCATGAAACAATCCTAGATGTCAATATCCTCAATGACGAATCAGCCCATTGGTGACACAGCTTACAATCACTACAACTATTCATTCAAGAGAAATTAAAGGATCAAAATTTGACAATGGCAGTTTTGTTGGTAGTACTGTATTGGCAAGGGAGTCTTATCTACTTTTTGCACTGTATGTAAAATATATTATTTGAGAAAAGGCATTATGTATAGAATCACTGATGAACATGATGTGATCATTTAAGGAAATCTAAGAACAGGGTGAAGAAGTGGGTCCCCTGGACCCAGGAAGAATCTGAAGTGCAAACTGAAGTCCACAGAAGGAGTGAAAAAAAGAACTTTAATGAAGAAGGCAGTGGCAGCCAGTGACATCTGTGTGCTGAGACAGGACTCACTGTATGAGAGGAGCTGTTCAATGCACGGCCATGGTGACAGTAATGGCTGGTAATCCTGGAGACCTCTGCAGAGAGATGTGGCAGTGGAGGGGAATAGTGAACTTGGGGGACTGCACTGGCTGGCAGTGAATGCAGAGGATATTAGTCTTCCTGTGGGACAGAGCAACTGGCTGGGAGCTCTCTGGGAAACAGGCAGATGAGCTCAGAATGCAGAACTACTAATGGCTTTGTGTCATGGTTTATGTCTGTGTCCCCCAGGCCTCATTAGTTTGCATTGTTCATTTGTGATGGTTCATTGTATAGTGCTTGGATTGATGGTGTCAGTGCTCCACCCACATAGAGGTGGAGCCAGGATATGATGTAATGGCAGGAAGAAGGTGTGTTTTGCTCTTTGCTGGTTCTGGCTTGCTGTTTGCAGCCGCATGAACTGCAGCCCAGCCATGCCCGCCTGTCTTGGAGCCAACTGAGTGTGGACTGAAACCTCCAAAAACTGTAAGAAATAAACCTTTCCTTTCCCAACTTGGGCATCAGGTATTTTGTCTCAGCGATGAGCATAAAGTAACTAAGACACTTGGACTAGCAGCTCCCCCGCTTGGGTGCAGACCTGTGGAAATTGCTTGGACTGCTGTAAGCCTGATGAGTCTGGTCTCAAGGCAGGCTACTGAGATTATCCACTACCCCACCAAAAAGCAACTGGTGGCTTGCTGGGATATACTGGCACGATTGAGGACTCCTGTCTCCACAGGCTGTCTACTAGCGAAGCCAGAGAGAACCCTGCAAGTGGACTTTCTTTTTCTTTTCTTTCTTTTTTTCCTCCTGTTCTCTTACATTGTTTTTATATGAGTTTGAAGGTAGTTCTTAACCTCTGGGTGTGGTTTTTTTTTCTGTTCATTCTCATCTCTTTCATCTATCTTTACCTTCACCCTTCTGCATCAGTTTCCCAAAATTGGCATGATGCCCCTTTGTCCACCAACCTTACTTCTAATCCTATTCTCTTCTTCCACTTATCTATTTTCTCCTTAATCCATTTACATTTTAACTCCTGAAGGCAAAACTGACACATTACTTCCATGACAGAGAACATCTGAGGAAATTTACGATCACCAAGCCAGCACTCCAAAATGTTTTGAAGAACATTCTAGAAAGAGATAATAAGGACCATAGCTCCATGAATCCCAACAGAAGAAATCTACCAGGGAAGGTAAACAGTTAGAGGGAGCCATCAATTAACCATCAAAATGGATCAAGAAGCAAGATCCAACAATATGCATACAAGAAACACATTTAATTAAAAAAGAAATTCATAGACTGAAAGTCAAAGGATGAAAAACAATATACCATGAGACAGGAACCCAGAAAAAAGCAGGGGTAGCTATTCTATTTGCAGACAAAGTGAATTTCAAGCCAAGGCTGATTAAAGGAGATAAAGATAGTCACTATATCCTTATAAAGGGAACAGTCCAAGAGGAAGAGATAACAATCATAAATATACAACAAATACCAGTGCACTCAACTATATACAAAAATTACTAATGGACATGAAACATCAAGTAAGCTCTAATACAATTGTACTGGGAGATCTCAATACCCACTGTCACAAAAAGAGCAATGAGACAAAAAAAAAAAATCAATGATGAAGTATTAGAACTGAATCAAACTTTTAAACAATTGGACCTAGTAGATGTCTATAGTGTTTCACCCCACAACATCAGAATACATGTTCTTATCAGTCATTCTCCAAAATAGACCATACACTGGCTCACGGAACATGCTTAAATATATGAAAAGGAACTGAAATTATCCCATGCATACTATCAGACCACAGCGCAAAAAAACTGGAACTCCATCGCAAAGGAAACCACAAGAACTTCATAAACACGTGAAAATTAAATAGCACCTTAATGAACAACCAATGGGTCACAAATGAAATTAAAGAAGAAATTAAGACAGTTTATATAGTTTCATGGTAACGACAACCACATACTGGAATTTGTGTGACACAATGAAAGTTGTCTTAAGAGGGCAATTTATAGCAGTAAACACACATATCAGGAAAACAGAGCAAACACATGTAAGCAATTTAACGTTGAACTCCAAACTTCTAGAAAAAAAAGAGCAGGCTAAACCAAAAGCTCATACAAGGGAGGAAATTATAAAGATCAGAGCAAATATTAACACAATGGAGACCAAACCCAAAAAAAAAAAAAAATCAATGAATCAAAGAGTTGGTTCTTTGAAAGATTAAATAAAATTGACAAACCCTTAGTCAACCTTATCAAAAACAGGAAAGACTCAAATCCATGCGATTAGGAATGAAAAGGGCAAAATCACAACAGACCCTGCAGAAATCCAGAAAATCACCTATACCTACTTTGAAAACTTGCATTCTAACATGGAAAATACCGAAGAAATGTACAGATTCCTAGATACATATGAATTACCAAAGCCACAAATCAAAAAGACATAACAATCTTAATAATCCAATGTCAATAAATGAAATTGAAGATGTAATTAAAAACCTATCAACAAATAAAAGCTCAGGTCCTGACAGATTCACTGCTGAATTCTACCAGAAATTTAATGAAGTATTAACACCACTACTTCTCAAACTCATTAGTGAAACTGAACAGGAAGCAATACTTCCAAATCCATTCCTGAAAGCAAGTACTACCCTGATAACAAAGTCAGAGAAGGACTCAACTAAGAAAGAGAATTACAGGTCAATCTCCCTAATGAACACTGATGCAAAAATCCTCAATAAGATACTGGCAAACAGATCGTAGCAAATCATTAAGAAGACTGTATACCACGATCAAGTGGGGTTCATCCCAGGGATGGTTCAATAGATGTAAACCCATAAATGTAATACACTGTATTAACAGTCAAGGACAAAAATCATCTCAACAGATACAGAAAAAGCTTTTAACAAAGTCCAGCACCCATTCATGATAAAAATGCTACAGAAAATTCGAATAGATGGTCTTTATCTCAATCTGATAAAAGCCATTTATGACAAACCAACAGCCAACATCATACTAAATGGACAAAACCTGAAAGCTTTTACTCTAAAATCAGAAACAAAACAAGGATGTCCACTGTCTCCACTGTTATTCAACATAGTCCTTGAAACTTTAGTTGGAGCAATTAGACAAGAGAAACAAATAAAAGGAATACAGATAAGAAAGGAATAAGTTAAACTATCATTACTTGCAGATCACATGATATTTTACTTAGGAGGCCCAAAAAACTCTACCAGAAGACTATTAGATTTAATAAGCAAATATACTAATGTAGCTGGATACAAAATCAACACTCAAAAATCAACAGCCTTCCTGTACAAAAATATCAAACTCACTGACACAGAAGTCAGTCACAATACCTTTTATGATAGCATCCAAAAATTGAAATACCTAGGAACCAATCTAACAAAGGATATAAAAGACCTCTACATTGAAAACTGTAGTACTCTGAAAAAGGTGATTGAAGAAGATACTAGAAAATGGACAGAGATTCTGTGCTCTTGGGTAGGAAGAACCAGTATAGTGAAAATGGCCATACTTCATACAGATTCAGTGCAATCACTGTCAAAATTCCAAATGCATATCTCACAGAATTACAGAAAACAATCCAAAAATTCTTCTGGAACCGTGTGCAAACACCATATTGTCTCAGTGTGAGAAGCTGAAACACAACATATGAAATATATATATGTATATAAAATAGTTAAAATAGTTATACTACTGATTTTTCTGAGTTTGTTGAAGAGAAGGATTTATGCTGGTATTGTTTGGACAACTGAATGCAGATGTCTTGTGTTCTGGGTGAATGATCTGGTGTTAACAACACACAACATATGTATCACTGCTGTCTGAACTGACACGTTTTGAAACTGTTTTACTTTTTCCTTACTTTTTTTTCTCCTTAAAATAAAATGGATTTGGAAAAAAAAATTTTAAAAAAACTTTAAATGTTCACACAGAAGACTTTTGTGAAGAAGTCAGAAGAGGGACTTTTCTTTCTCTGTTTTCTCTCTCTCTCTTTCTCTCTCTCTCTCTCTCTCTCTCTGTCTCTCTGTCTGTCTTTTTAGACAGTGCTTCACTACGCAGTTCAGGCTGGCTTTGAATTCACTTTGTAGTCATGATTACATGAGGAACTACCATAAATACTATATGTGGTTATCAAAAATTGTTAGAAAATTTTAGTGTGAGAAGTTAACACTCTGAATGAATAAATGTAGAAGCCCCTTGCAGAGTCAGGCTGGCCTTGAACTCAAAAGTGCTGGGATTACAGCCATGCATCACCACACCTAGCCAAGGGACTTCTGCATTTATTCATTCAGAATGTTAACCTCTCACAGTAAAATTTGCTAATGATTTTTGACAATCACATATAGTATTTGCAGTAGTTACCCATGTAATCACCACTACCAGGGTCAACACTGCTTGCTTCTGTTCAGACCATCTTTGCAGACAGCCCCTAGGTACTTTATTATAACTCTGTCCCTAGCAGTTGGAAGCAAAAACCCTGGCTGAGATCCTTTCCCCTGCCTTCTCATTAGACATCAAGCAAATGCTGCACATTTGTTTTAAGTCTTCAAGTATGTTAAGTGAAAAAAAGTATGTTACAAAATATGCATCAGTATTTACTTGTTCAAAAATTATATATTTATGTATGTATGCACATTGAAAAGGTCTGCAGACATATTTACCTACATGTTAAATAGTCACTATATTTTAGGCTTTATACGATTCTAGGGGGTGACTTTTACTCTTGTTTTTTTCTGTTGTGTCATAAATATGTAACAATACTCAATAGAAGTTTTTTAAAATTTAAAATTCTATTAAAGTTTATCAAGTCATTAATGATGTTACAAGAGAGGAATAGTACTGGCGTTAGATGATAACCTTATCAATTTAGAGTTCTCAAATAGTTTCTTAGTGAATAGTATATGTAAAAATGAACCTATGTTATTAATTAAGCTTTCAATGGGATCCTGCTTAATTTAAATACAACAGTATTATCTCACACAATTTTAGTCAAGCCTCTGTCTATAGGGATATGTTTAATTTATCTCATGGTAATTGTTTCTTCTAAAGTACTTTTATGCTGATTCAGGTTTTCAATAATAAATGTGAGACTGCTGTAACAGTCTCAAAAGCACATGTTTCTGCCATTACTTGCAACAATATCATTAAACATGCAGGAATGTGCCCTAGGTAGGGAAAATGAAAATTTACTCTACTGACTTTTATCTATAGCTTAGTTTAAATAGCCATCCCTATTGTAAAATGCAAAACGACTCAAGCAAGAGAAAAACCCATCTAGTCAATAATTATATGAAAAGGGACTAAATCATGTTAGTAAAGTCAATTAAAATCACAGTATCTGTCCACAATGCATCTAAGAGACACCAAAAAATTATCCACCATGCATCTAAGTGATTCTCATAGCATCAGCTCTTTGCAAATATGTGCAACAAAAACCCTCATACACTGCCAGTGAGCAATCTGATACTACCACTCTTTAAAACAGTTTGGCATTACCTAGTAAATTTGAATAAATATATCTTATGAGACAGCAATTCTACTCCTAGGATGATTTGTGTACACATACATCAAACAGACTGTAGAGTAAGATGGAGAACATAATGTAGGATATCTACACAAGGGAATTCTACACAGTAACATAAACAAACCAGAGATAAATTCAGTAATTTGAATGAATGTTACAGGAAGATGAAAAACGCAAGACACAAAATATGCAAAGACCGACAAAAGTTCAAAACAGGGCAACTTAATAATTAACACAGGGAAAAACCCCACAGAAGTACAGGACATATGTAAATTGGTAAAAAATCAGAAAGAAAACTGCTGAGTACACACTACAGAGGAGTATGTGAAGGAGCTTTTGGAATATGGGCAATATTCTACTTCTTGACATGTGTGATGCTTAGACAGATACTCCTTTAATAATTTGTCAAAATGTGTATTTGAATTCTTCACTATATGTTACAGTTCGTAAGTTTTTAAACAAAGCTTAAAAGTGAAAATAACTTTTCACTGCAAATTTACTTAAAATAGTTATCCTTTAGGGTATAGAAAAACTTACAAACATAAGAAACAAAGACAATGAACTTAATGGCTTTAATCTAAGGCCTATTTTTAATATGACACTGTTAATCAATTTGACTATCTTCTATCTCCTATAGTAATTAATATAGATTATTTCCTTAGTATTGTTAGAATAAGAATATGACCAAGAAACGTGTTTTAACTGCATAATAATATGAGAAACAAAGGAAATAGTTTTAGCGACTTATGTAACCATATGACCTACCTTGGCCAGGTTTATCACTCTCCTGCTCTCTTTTCAGGATCATTTTTCTACCATTCATTTGAGCACGCAGTGCTTGAATTTCAGACAACAAACTCCTTCTGTCTGCTTTTTGGACACATTCCATAGCTGCTTGATATTGAATACCCTGCAACGAAGGAAAATAAAAAAATCAAATGAAAAGTTATAAAGATAATAAAATTAACAACCAAGAAGTTTGAAAAAGAATGCATGGAATACATTCTACATTTTTTATTTAAAAAATTTCATTTTTTTATCCAAATTGTATGCTGATCTGTTATAAAGAGATGCCCCTTTATACTGCAATGTACAGTATTTCCTAAAAACAAAACATTCTTATACAACCACAGTACAGTAAACAAAAAATTACCATTACTACATTATCTAATAAACTAAGCCTATTCAAATTTTGCCAAATGTTCTTTATAAAAAAGCAGTGATACTGATGAGTCTTTGTTATTGTAATCTTGGATTTTCTGAGGCACATAAGTTAGTTATCTTGTTTTATGTCGTTCAATTAAAAAAACACAAGACTTTGAACTAATTTAGCCAATGTTCCCATGTACCTGGTCAGCGAGCTTTCCCCATCACAGCACAGTATCAAAACCAGGAAACTCTCATTGCCACATACTATGTAGGTTACAGACTTTATTCAAATTTCTTTAGCTTTTATATATACTTTCCGTGATATACAGTATCATACAGATTCATGTATGAACCACAATCAGCACAGAACTATTTCACCAACAATGAGTCTACTTGTAGTTACACCCTCTCCCTAACTCTCACACCTACACCACTGATTATCTGTCACGATATATTTTAACCTCAGGCATGTTATGCAACAAAACAAGCTGAGGCCTTCAAGAGTTCGCTCTTCGTAATGTGCTGAGGAGTGCTTCATGGGGTAGGTATACCAGACCTTGGTCATTGCCTTCACCGACTGCGGGCCATTTGCGTTGTTTCCAGTTTGGAGCTATTACAATAAAACTGCTATGAATACACATGTGTAGGTTCTTAAAAGACACAACGTTTTAATTTCTGGATGATTAAATACCTATGAGTGTGAGTGCGAGGTTGCATGGTAAATGAACATTCAATTTCCTAAGCAACCCGCCAGGTTAGTCTGCAGAGCGGCTCACCTACTCCACATTCCTCCTAGCAATGCGTGCGAGACAGTCTCCCAGCAACTCTCCCAGCAAGTGGTAGTGTTACAGTTTATTTTGGCCACTTAAACAGGTATATGTGCCTCACTATGTTTTGGTCTGGTATTTCAAGAATAGATAAATATTTTTGAGACAGAGTTTCATTCTGTAATTCAAATTAGCCTTGAACTCACTGGTTGTATTCTTATGACCCCACCTTCACTCTAAACACTTAAAAAAGGTTGTTTTATCATTTTCTTACCAATCCTGCAGAAAAGTTTATTAGTTCTTTCAAACTTTTAATATTTCTTCCTCTCTATTGTACTGTGTATTTGGTTAACTTTTTTACTATCATCAACCCTTATTTGGATTCTGTATTTACAGATTTGATTACTCACTAAAATATATTTGTAATCTCCAAATGAGTTTCTTTCACTGGTTCACACATGTACTGAGAAGCTTAAAACTGCTTCAAAAATCAAACAAGGTAATACTCTGTCTTCTCATTTCTATTCTCAAACTATAAACAACTGTCCTTTTAAGCTATGTAGTATCAATTTTTTTCACAGCTTTGTGCTTATCTTTTGTGATTTCCTGGTTTGTTTGTTTATTTGTCTTTTTGAGACAGGGTTTCACTATGCAGTTCAGGCTGGCCTTGACCTCACTTTGTAGCCCAGGCTGGCCTTGAACTCACAATGATCCTCCTGCCTCAGCCTCTCGAGTGCAGGGATTACAGGTGTGTGCCACCATGCCCGGCTGTTTTCTTGGCTTAAAATGAAGTACTGTTTAAAGTGAAGTACTGAGTTGTATTCCTAAGTTCAAAGAGGCTGTGAAACATCTTAAGGTGAAAATGTATGTTAGATAAACCTTTTTGGGCACAAGTAATATTGCTACTGATCATGTTCAACACTAATAATGAATCAATAACATATAATATTTTAAAACAAAACCTCACAGAAAGCAAGGTTATGTACAGATTGGGTGAGGAAACGTGACTAGAGGTTTATAAGCCCCTAAGTGTGTATTTTACCTAAGAGTGACGGCAACTTTATACAACATAGCTACTGCAAACAATGAGAACTGATTCCACCTTACTCTATTTCTTTGAGTTTATTTGTTGTTCTAATTCCCTACATTTGATGATCAGCTCATTTGTTTTCAGGCTTTATTTTATAACACAGAATGTCTAACATAACATTTTTCCCCTAAATATTCTTAGTGGTCCTGTTACTTAAGACTCTAAAATGAGTCAGTAACTGATACCCTATTATTATTTACAAGTATCTTTTAAAATGAAGTTCCATTTGGCTACCTGTTCCTGTATTCTCTGTTCTAAGCAGCTCAGTAATCCAACTGCATCTCTGGTACCTAGAGCTGTTAGCTCGGTCTGGAATGCAGCCAGCACAACGTTGCGCTCCTTTAGGAAAACATGTTGAAGGGCAAGCAAAAGGTCACCTCGCCAGTCTGAGAGATTCTCAGAAGGCTGAGAATCATCATAAACCTAGGAGAATATGAATAGCAAAAGTTAGTGTTCAAATAAGCATGTTTTAAAAAATCGTAAGTTAGTCTACTACCCCAAATAAATATCAAAAGTCAAAAAACAGCAATTTCAAGTGTGAAAATATATATAACAATTCATGTGAAAACATAAAGAATAATTTATGAAGTGTATTACTGCCATTAGGAATCATACAAAGCCACTGGAAGCATAATGTTCTTTGGGTACCTCGCCTTCTCTTTGCACTTGCATTTTGGTAATTAGATCCTTAAGCGAGGAGATTGTACTAAGGTACGCCCTTCTTTCTTCCAGCCAGGATTCTGAAGCTTGTTGAACAGAATGGTCTTCTCCATCACCGCAAGGCAGCTCTGTGAGAGAAAGTACCTGCATGCCCTCGGTGTGAACAGCTCTCAGCAATCCCTAGAAACAGAGGCCAGAAGTAGGACAACTTCTTCAAAAGCTGAAATCTTAGATGTACAAAGATACATGAATTTTAAGCAAACTAGCTTTACCAAGCTAGACGGATTTAGAAAATCCACTGGACAGAGGAAATTTCAGCCTTCTAGTGATATATCTTCTTCCTGGGGAGACTTAGCCAGTCCCCAAATGCTGCCCAGAACATCTTACTACCTTTTTGCGCCAGAAATCGAACTCAGGACTATATTCCAGTCCCCTTCTCATTGCTTTTTCTCTAGGTTGCTTTTGTGTAGCAAAAGTGTCTTTCTTAGGTTTAATAATTAGCCACTGATATAACCAAAGGAAATGGTGTGAGAAAACCTCTATTCCTTTAGACTGTTTTAAAATAATTTTGACAAACAAAAACACCAGGAGTAAAAATTAAAGTATCTTTTACCCATAACTATGAAATATACTGCAGTTCATTACCTATGAAACATGAAAACAAAGTGAAACAGATTCTCAAGGATCAAGCTAGTTTTCTCTTCAGAGCAGATCTTACTATGTAATTTAAATATGCTATAATGCTCAATATAAAAACAGTATAAGCTAAGTTTTTTAAAAAATATTTTTCACTACCTTTATTTTCTTTGGAAATAAATCTGTGGAATTTTCAATTTCTTCTCTGTCTTCTAATGCTGTGTCAAATCCCTGACTTTGTGTAAGGTAAATTCCATGACCCCAGTCTGCTGCAGAATCTAAAATAAAATCATATATTATACAAAAGGTCACATCCTCAACAAAAGTAATATTTTAAATAAATACTATAATTAGTCAAGAAATGTATAACACTTACCACTGGAACATATTTCTCCAGTTTGGTAAGTATTAGTATGAACTGATGATCCCTAATTAGAGAAAATAAAATAAAACAAAATAAAAAGTTTTGTTTGCTTTAGTAAAAAATAGATAAATTGTAAAAAAGAAAGAAATCAGCTCATCTGTCATACTTGTCACAGTAAATGAAACTATCTATGGCTTATAACAATTTATTATTTTTTTCTGTCCTGGATATCACAATAAAAAGAGACATTCATGAACTAAGGAATTATAACAAGCTCCAAATCCACACAGGGTTTTTATTATATAACCCTACACAACAGGAAGATTTAAAATTGGAATAGTATCATGAAAAAGAGGTGCTTTCCTTGGGGCTGGCGATTTAGCTCAGCGGCATAAGCACTTGCCTTGCAAGCAGGAGGTTGTGAGTTCAATCCCTGGTACCGATAAAAATGAAAAAGACAAAAAAAAAAAGGAGGTGCTTCCCATATTTCTTTTTAAATTGCTCTTAAAAACATAAAAGTATAGAATTTTGAAAAAAAATTATAGAATGCTAAAAAAGAAAAAGTAAAGAAATCACATACCTCTTTAGATCTCAGACACTGTATCACTGCTTTCAAGGTCCCACACTCCTCTGTCAGTAACTGGACAGCAACATAATGCTCCCTCTTCAGAGTCTCAGTTTCTGAAATGTGTCTCGATTCCATATCCAAAATTTCGGCAGCATGTAATTCTTGCATCTGCTCAATTTTCTCAGTAAACTGACTGATTATTTCAGTGACTTCTTCCGAAGAACATTCATTCTGCGTATCAATCTGAACTCCCACATTTCTGACCAGAACCTGCAGAGTCTGGCTGCTGCCATGCACTGTGAGGGCTCCCCCTGTCTGGGATGTGCAGCTTTCACCCACTTCAATGGGAAGTGGCTCACATATGCAGATCTCCCTGTTTCCTTGTACCTCACTCTTATCTCCTTTCCGTATGAAGTGGGATAATTTGTCTTCTGCCCCTGTGAGTTGATCCCTGACTTGGCTTAAATCTTTCTGAAGAGATGCTATATTTATTTCTTTTATCTAAAACAATGAGAACAATAAAAAGAATTGAGTTAGAATTTTTGTAAATAAAATGTAGACCTTTTTAAAAGAAGGGGAAGCTGAGTGTGGTGGCTCACGCCTGTAATCCCAGCACTAGGGAGGCTGAGGCAAAAGGATCATTGTGAGTTGGAGACCAACCTGGGATACAAAGTGAGCTCAAGGCCAGCCTGAACTGCACAGAGACCCTGTCTCACAAAACAAAACAGAATACAAAAGAATAAAAAACAAAAAACAAGAAGGGGAAAGGAAGAGTACAACTCATGTTCAATATATTTATCTGTCTCAGAATAATAGGGAAAACACATTTCAGAAACACCCATGGTCTACATATACTTCCATATGTATACATGGTCATGTTACCATTATTCCAGAAAGGAAATAATTGTCTTTTAGTTCCGTTAGATTTATGGTTCTCTTTAATATCTGTCTTCTTCTTTTGGTAATGGACTAGATAGACATCAAAGTGTTCTCCTAAAAAAAGATCCTCAGGAAAACCAAGCAAGGAAATACTGGTAAAGGAAATTATAACAATAAATTTTTCATTAAACCTATAAAAATCTTTCTTTTTTATGTAGCTTTTAAATTATGGATCTGGGTTTGTTTTTATAGAAGGAAATTAAGATAGGCAAAAATAAATGAATTAAGACTATGTTTCTTTTCCTACCAAAAGCTCTTCTTGAAGTTTCTCCACCTTCTCTTTGTGACTGGCAAGTTCTTTCTTGGTAGCCACTGATTCAGCTCTAAAAGCCTCAAGTTCATCAAAAAGTCTTTCTTCACTGCTATGAATTACTTCAGTAGGAATCTGAATGGCAGTAGAAAATACAACAAACACATCATTTTAAAGAAATATAGCTAAGTTCAAGGGACTTACACAATGAAGCCTTTCCAGGAATGCCTGTCTACAGATGAAAGGCACTGAAAAGATCAGTGCTCTTTTTCACAAATGGAAATTTTTTAGGAACCATCATCTTATGGTAGTTAAAATTTATAAATTATTAATAAAAATACTCTTTGTTATAGTCAAAAGTTTCCTATTTGTATCACTTTCCTTAAAGGATACCAGATATAACTAAGATAATTCTTTGAAAATATAAATGGGAAGTCACTAGCATTATAATACTTATTACAAAGCAATGTAGTCCAACTACAAGAAAAAGCCTAGTAAATAGGATTATTGTTATATGACTAATATAATTATAAAGTTCCAATATATCTGGTGTTCAGGTAAGATTTTAACTCAAAATTGTAAATTCATAATATGAGAATTTGAAAAAAAAGTTCTTGTCATATTTGTTACGCAGTGAAAAATAACTGCAACTTCGTATTTTTACTTAAGTAGATTCACACAGGTCAAACACAAACTGCTAAGGAAGGGTGACATAAAATTTGTAAAAACTAACATTTGTCATACTAACACATTAATTCAGTAGAATACTAACACATTTTGGTATTTTCACTATCTAAAAGGGATATGTATGTATTAGTGGGAAATGAAGGAGAAAACCCACACGAAGTCCTAAAGGACATTTGATAAACTGATTTTATTCTTTAGACAGTTCTAATTAATGACTATGCTAACGGAATGTTCCGTTTGAAAGTATTAACTATAGCTTGTATCTATTACTCTAGTAATAATATCACTACCTGGTGTTTAATTTGGCCTTGTCTCTGTAATCTTAAATTCCTGCAATTAAACCTAGCATATAAACAAAAACCTAACCTAGGATTATAATAAACAGCGAAGTCTTAGGTGAACATGAGCAGCTCTGCTTCAACTAATCACAGGTAAGCAACTTATCAAATCACACTCAAAACAGACCTAGTTGTAAGCAGTAAGGCCACTTCCATACATTATTGGAAGTTCTGTCTATACTCACTGGCCACTGTTGCAGAGAGAAATTTTCTGAACCTCTTCTGGGTCTTGAATGTTGCATAATTCATGAATCACTCTTTGCCCAAATAAATTCTGTTAATTTTAGTTTGTCTAAAGTTTTTCTTTTAGGTATAATATTTTAATAAAATCCTGCTATGTACAATTTGCTAGGTATAAACAGAGCACCATATTTAATTTAGTAAATTAGGAGTCAGTATAATGAACAGAGGAAAAAGTTTCTCAAAATATTTAAGTGAAAAAAACATCAAATACAAAACTAACCTTGAGAACTTCAAAATCTCCTTGAGAGCTTGTTTTACTTTCTTTCCCTTCCTGTTTTTTCTTACTGTCCTCTAAAAGCTTCTGTAGTTCTATCAGTCTCCTTTCTTTTTCCAAAGCATTTTTCTCTGCTGTTTCTACTTGTTTTTTTTCTGAAATCAAACTACTATGCATTGCAACCACCTGGCTTTCTAATTCTGATATTCTCAGGGTTAATTTGGATACATCTGATTCCACCCTGTTTTCCGTTATTTGATCTAAATTCTGTATACTGGTCCTTTCACGCTCTGATGAAACTGTTTGCTTATCCCGATAGAACTTCACATATTCCTGGACTGCCTCAAGCTGGGCCTGACTCACAAGAGCAGCAGCTACTTTCTCCTCAAGTATTTTCTGCAGGTTTATGATCTTTTTTTGAAGGTTTTCTGTTTCAGATTGGCCTTGCTCTTGCATATCCTTTATTTGCTTATAACACTGGGTAAGTTCTAAGTCTTTTGTACTAATAGAGCTCTCAAGTTGTAGCAACTTTGTTTCCAAACTTCTGGAATCTGTGGTGCTTTCTTCAAAAGATTGGAGGTCAATCTGATACCCTAGGGGATTAAAACCATCCTCAGTAGAGACTACTTCCAGCTCAGGTTTGTCCTTGCTGAGGTCATCTAGAGCCAGAGCAGCACTTTTCTCTGGTACATTTTGCATTTTTCCCTTAATTTTACATTCTTCCTTTAAGCTGCACAATTCTTGTGTTAGTTGACTCATTTTAAAATTGGTTTCCTTAAGTACATTTTTGGTAAAGGCCATTTCTTCATTAGTGGTTTCTACTTGCTGTTCCAAAGCCAGTTTTTCAGCTGTAACTTTATCCAACTGATGTTTTAAACTGTCTGCTTCCTCCGGAAGGGAATTAGCATACACTGAAGTCTTCCGTTCAATATTTGCCAATTCCTGTTGAAGTTTTTCAATCAGTTCATTGAGTTGCTCTACTTCTTCTTCTCTGTTTTTCTTCACACATTCTTGATCACTCAACAGACATTCTATTTGAGTTTCAAGATCCCTTATGAGTTCATTTTTTTCTTCAATAACCTATTAGTTAATGAAAAAAAGAAACATGGTAGTATGAATTTGTATCTTGGAAATGGATCCTTGGGGCGTCCCCCAAGAGAAAATGTACTTTATTTTAGGGCAGGATCTTAAAGAGATGATTTTGTTTTGTTGTTGAGACAGGGTCTCACTGTAGTTCAGATTGGCCTTGGATTTGTGATGATCTTTTGCCTCAGCCTCGCAAGTGCTGGGATTACAGATATGTGCCACAATGCCTGGCTTAAACAGAAGATCTAGAACAAAAACAATATACTGTGCTTCTCAGACATAGTGTGTTACTTCCAATATAGATCAACACTATCACTATCATGTAAAACTAGGACATTACTAAGAACTTCCTTTCTGAAAGTTCTGTTAAATACAATTTATAGTTTTAGGATTTAGTTTCTTATTAGGCAAAAATGGTCAGTACATTCTATTGAAAAGAATGATGGGGTTTTTGTTTTGTTTTGTTTTTACCTGAAGTACTGGAGATTAAACCCAGAGCTTCTGCATTGAGCATATCTCTACTCTGTTATGTTACATTACGGTTTTTTTTTTTTGGTACGGGGAATCAAACTCGGGCCAGTCTTCATGCTTGCTAGGCAGGTGCTGTGCCACTGTGCTGCATCCTTGGGCCTATATTATTTTTTGGAGACAGGTCTTGTTAATACACTAAATTGCTCAGTCTGGGTTTAAATTTGTGATCCTCCTACCTCAACCTCTCAGTGTTGGGATAACAGGAATTTACCAACACATCCAGCTCAAGGATTAAGTACTGAATAAAGTCTAAAAGAGAAGGTACCCAAAGGTGATACACATTAAAGGGAAGAATTTTTCACAGATTTGATTAGGATATGATGAAATATAAGTCATAGAACTTCCTTGAAAAATATTAAATCTACCTTTTGAGAATATTAGTAATTAACAAAATATATAGTTTAAGCTAATGTATATTAAAATTAATGAGTAAAAGAGAAATAAGATTTAAGATTTGTTTTTAAAAATTCAGTGAGAAAGTAAAAATTATCACCACTGCGCCCTTCAAAATGACAGCTCATACTAATTTTGGATAATAACCAATTATAAATGCGTATACCTTGTTATCTGTTGTAAGTTTAAGCTGTTGCTGAAGTTGTATAATTTGTTCATTTAATTGATCAATTTCTACATCTTTTTCTTGTATTATTTGAGCAAATTTTCCAAATAACACATGTTGGTCCTGAGTAGAAACATCATCAGATTCCTTCATGGAATGTCTCAGTTTCTCCATTTCATCCTAGAGACAAATGAATATAATAAGTGAAGAGGCAAATAAAAGTGAATAAACAAACATCTCAATAAAGTAACAAGACAACAAGGACTATAGTAATTACACTGTACACTATTAATTACACTGTAATTTCCAGAACATCTTTAACTCACAAAAAAATGTATCATCAATAAGGTACAAATGAAAATATTAGTACTTATAATGTACAAATGAAAATTATATAGTACGTAATTCTTCAAAAATTTTAATTAAAAAATCACACAATTTTTTATTTTTGACAAATTTAAATGATTTGGTTCAGCAAAAAGTAAGTTCCATGCAAATCCATTTGCCTGCTAATGTTCCTCTAGTATTTTTTAGCAGCTGAATTTGGTAAATGTTTATTAAGGCTCCATAGAAGTGAAATTATGAATTACATATAGACAAAATCTTTTCTAAATTAATTACCTTAAATAATTTGTTCTCTTGTTGAAGTTCTTGTAGGCGGGTAGTGGATTCCTTTTTCTGTATTTCTAATTGCATATGTAGTTGCTGAACTTCTTCATTCTTATTTTCTAGTTCTTCTCTAAACTGCTCTAATTGCTCTTCTAAGTTTGTGATCTTTAATGCCAAAAATTATTGAGAGAAAAGTTTATATAAATGTTTTGTCAAGATAGGATAAAGAGTGCTTAGGTTTACAAAATACATATGCTTAAAACATGTAAATGGGAATACATGAAAGTGGTTTTCTAAACCAGCTGAACTACACAGTTCTAGACATGCTCAACTACATCCTCTATTTTTTTTTGAGACAGTCTCATTATGTAGTCCAGACTGGCCTTTGAACTCCTCAGGATTCTCCTGCCTCAGACTCCCAAGTGCTGGGATTACATGATTGAGCCATCACACGTGGCTCCACCCACACATTCTTAAAGTTATCTTGCCCAAAGCAGAGAGGAGATCTGAAGGAATGCCACACAGAGCCTTTTGTTACCTAAGAAACTGCATTAACACAGAAGGGTAAAGGCAGGAAGTAGTCCATATGCTACACCTTAAATTTATATTAAATTTAGTTGCTACCAAAAAACTTTTTAAAAAATTCATTTGGTTATTTTAGTAAGACTAGCTCATTTTAGTCTATAAATGTCTACTTATCTACCTGAAGGGACTGATTGCTTGGTGGTTTGCCTAAGGAGAAGGGTGTAGAGGTAAACACTAAGACCAAGAGGCTCTTTGGTCTGAATTATAAAAGCCCTAGAACAGCAGTAATGAACTTAAGGCACACTTGCTGCAGCAGGCTGTCTGCCTCACTGAAAGCTCTAAAAGGTTCATCACCATCACTGCCGCAGGGTAAGTTAATACAGTTTTAGGAGAAAATTAGCTTCTATAGGTAGGACAATAGAAATTTAGTTAATTTCTGAAAATGGATGGTTAGTAATAATGGAAAAACAACATCTTTGACATAGAAACTGAATCTAATGATAAATATTGAGCTAGTTATTATTCTATTTTAAAAAACAGATTTCACCAAGGACGGTAACATTTAAGCTTACTGCTTTGTAGTTACTTAACAAATATTTAATGAATAGATTTCCAAACTGCATTCATTTGAAGATAAAAACTGCTGCATTAAAAGCAACCTAAGATACAGGAGTAGTGTTAGTGGCAGCTGGCTCAGAGTAGTTGACAAATCCTTTAGTGCCTTGGAAGCTAAAAACAGGCATGTGCTGCTTACACAGTGACATATTACATAATTAGAACTGTGTCACTGCTTCATTCTACTTAAAACTTGGATTAATACTTCTTAAACAGAAATGCTATTGATACTACTAGCCATCACTTACAATTTCCTGCTACACACTATACAAAGTGCTCTGTGTGTATTATTTTTTATAATTCTGTAATAATCATGGTTAAGAGATCTGTTCTGATTATTCTCCTTTTGGAGGTGAGAAAAGGAGTCATAAAGAGGAGGAGTAACTGGGCCTCAGTATGTGGTGAAGCTGCTTTTAGAACTTGGGAAGTTTTTACCTCTGAAGCCTTCCATTCTACACTATCACTTATCCTGATTCTAGTAACTACTGTCTAAGACATTTAACCTTTTTTTTCTCTAATGCTGGTATTAAATTCTATAGACAAATACATTTAGTGGCTGTGCACATAGAATTATCATGTTAGTTTGCTGAAAAGTATGGTAATTATAGTTTCTTTAAAGTTATCTAACAGTATTTATATCTATTTCTACCTTCTACAAATACTTTTGATGAGGAGACATTATAAAGTCAGCACATCTGTGTTTACTTAGGTTCAAAACTGCTACACTACATCACATGATGTTTAGTATCTTTCTTGGATACATACTTAGTAGTCAGATTCTTAGCTCTGTGATCTAAAGCCTTGCTACATGAAGGTCATCACTGGTCATCTCTGGTCACATCATGTGAAAGCCTGTGCAGAATTCCATGCTACTAAAGATCAGCACATTCACAAAGTCTCCAGGTGATTCGTGTACACACTGAAGAGGTGTATAGCACTAACATTTTTAACTAACTGAATCTGAGTTATCACCTTAGAAATTTTAACCTCCAAAATGGTATTAAGGAATATTCTTTCTTCTTCTGAAACCAGACTCTAGTTTCAGTCCCAGCCTTTCTCATTATTGAGAGCCCATAACCACCCTCAAGAAGGACAATATAAATGTTTAAATGTGTTTTAATCTTCTTTATCTATTATATTAGGCTATTCAGATTAATTTGCACCTGTTTACGTTTTACTTGTTAAATGTTTTATCTCTTTCAAATGTAACTATGTCTCCTTAATCACACAGCAGATTCCTTGAAGCCTGGTGTTAGTTTTACAGCTAGGAAAAATGTGTTACATGTAATAAGAATGCAATAAATGTTTAAAAAATGAGATGAGATCCTGCTATGTTGCCTATGGTATTTCCTGAGCTCAACCATTTTTTCTGCCTCAGCCTTTGGAACAGCTGAGACTACAGATATGTATCACCATGCCCAGATGAGTTCTTTTTTTTTCTTTTGGAAGGGATGGAGCTTTGCAAATCACAGGAGAAATCTGTACTGTTACTTTATTATTACTGTTCTGGAAGCTTAACAAAGAGAATCAAACCCACAGTTCTGTACATGCTAAATGAATGTTGTACCACTGAGTTAGATCAAACCTTGGTTACTTTATTATTTACCTTTTGTTTTAAGAACAAAGCTGGGGTTGGTGGTACTCTTTCACCTAACCAGCCTGGGGTATACTGAGAAATGCAATGTCAAAACCAGTAACAGAGATAAGCCTGTAAACCGAGACCTATTTTCCTTACTAGCATGAGTGTTTCTTCATCTCAGTACTATTGCAATGCTGTGGATAGCTCTTTGTAACAACGGCTTGCTCTGTACACTGGAGGATGCTTAGCAGCGTCCTTGTCCTCTATGAGCTGTCTATAGCATTTTTTCCACTGGGCTCACCCTCATCTGTGGCAACCACTATCTCCAATGGCACCAGACATTAGCACATAATAAAACCCTATCTCAAAAAACAAACTCCAAATGAACACTCCAAAACCCTTAAAAAACATGCTTTCTATGTTGTAAAATAGCACTATAAATCTCCTAGACCAATAGTTTTGAAAACAACTGAAGGAACCCACAGTGGAGCAGCATTAACTCAAAGAGAGGTACTAACTTTTGATCTTGCACATCACCACTCTCCTCTTCATTCAATCATTATCTGCTGATTTTTTTTTTCTCTTTAGGTTCCTTCTTTAAAGCCTTCACATTCCATATCCTCTCCACTTGGAACATGTCTTCCTTACATTGACTTATTTGTTCATAGGTCTACTACTATTAAGGTCAATTTACACAAGAATTGAGAAACAGCTTGAGCATAGCTTTTAGGTCATAAACTTCATTCTACTGAAATGGTATTTTCAAGGTAAGTGATTTAAAATTATTCAAACCACACTTTGTCATTAGAAAATAACTCCTTACCTCTTTTTCCTTTCTGTCTATAGCATCTCGCTCAGCCTGCAGCTGTACTTCTAGAGATAATTCTGCTTTAGCTTCTACAGCTTCAAGTTGTCTTCTGTCTTCTACCTTTAAATACATAAGAATTTTCTCAATATTTAGAGATTTAGTCCTGGTTTTCTATTGTGTTTGCGCACGCACGTGTGTGGGACGTTTGGACAAGTAGCAATTCTGTATCTATTTAGAAGGAGAAAATCTCTGTATTCTGTATTCTATTTAGAAGGAGAAAATCTACATTGACAAATAATAAAAGTTACATATATTCAAACTTGAATGCATTTTCCATTAATCTGAACAGGAACTTTTGAACTTTTGAACAGGAACTTTTGAAAATACAAATGAAATGAAAGCGATCTCCCATATGCAACCAGCCTTCTGCTAACATTTCTTTCTTTCTTTCTTTCTTTTTTTTTTTTTTTTTTGATTTTGCTTCTGCAGAATAATAGAGATGGATTTCATTACTTCTTAATTTGGAGAAAAATATCAGCCTAAACTGAAGTCCATTTTTCATTTAATGATCATTGATGGTTAAAAGGTAAGTAATTAATTCTTCTGGGAAATACTTAAACTTTCTTTTATCAAGATTGAAGAACACAGGCAACACTTGGAAATTTAAAAACAGGTTATGAGATCAACAAAGACGTAAAGATACATACATTATAGCATGTCAACACAATTTTTTATTTTAAAGACCCAATGCTTGTATAAGAGTAATCTTTACTAAAACATTTGATAAAGTTAGCTCAAATAAACGTCATACCTTTTGAAAAGTATCTGCACTGACGAGTAATGCCTGCTCCAGTTCTCGTACTCTGAACTCTAGCTTTTCAATTTCTTCATTCCGCTCTTGTACATCTCTTTGAAGCTGCTCTTTCGACAGCAAAAGCTCACTGCATTTGTCTGTTTTTTCTTTCAGATTATTTGTTAACTGTTCAACCTGAAAATACATTAAGCAAAAAGTATAAATTTTTAGGATGTTCACAGCTATAAAACACATCTATTTTCATTTCATAAAGATGACTTTTAAATACTACACTAATTTCATTTTTGATTAGAATAGAAAAATTATCTCTAACCAAGGTGACATTTTTCTAAATTGATAAAACTAGGTGGCACTAGTAAAAAGGTAATATATTCTACTCAATCCTTTCTTCAAATATTCTATCTCTTAAGACCAAGACCTTTCTCCAGCTAGGAAAGGGGAAAAATATATTTTGAGTAACAAATTATCCAATGGCAAAACTACTCGAAGACCTAGTGACCTAAAAGGAGACAAAACTGCATAATACTTTCTGACTTACTCTTACGTGAGGCAAGACAATCTTTAAAAAATAACTTTTATAGATTTCGTTTTGACAACAGCTATTTGCAAAGGTTTTTTCATCTATATATTTCACTAGGCCAGAATGAAGATAGGTGGGGAAAAGGACCTGGGCACTCTGTAAGTATCCCCTAAATGTCTTTATGGTGTTGGCTTTTCTATCTGAGATCTAATGATGAAGTGACTCAAGACTTATGGCTTAAGGCAGGACCGTTCAGATCAGTGGCAATGTGACAGAAAAACCACAGGAAAGCTTAAGACCATTTATGAAATTAGTTCTGAACAAGTGAGGAAATAAAAGAATAAAAAAGACATGATGTAGTAAGAAATAAAGGAACACTATCTTACTTTGGTGGACTATTTGGAGGAAATTATCCAACAATGACAGTTATTCCTTAAAATTTAAAAAAATGCACGCATAACAATAATTACAGGTTTAAGGATGATGGTAATAAACCTACTGAGGAGAAACTTTAGGTTGACCTACATTTAGAGTAAGGTCATAAAAAAAGGAAGGAAATACATACAATATGGTGAACTACTATGTTTCATTTTAGAAATGAATAAACAAGACATTTGAGAGAGTATGTGATTTGATCATTGTCATATACTTAGTAAACAGCAAAAGTATGATCCAAACTGGGACTGCCTCACTTGAGAAACAATCTCTTTGTCATCACCAGCCACTATTAGCAATTTATAGTCATTCTTCCCCATGCACATACCATTCAACTGGTAAGTAAAGAATTCTATTTTTTTTTACCAGTATCTCACTTATTTTGTTATACAGCTATCATACTTAAGTTCAAATCTCAACCTTATTTTTTTCTCCTACAAAGAGTGCTAATTTAGTATTGTGAAGAGAGAAGTGCTATTATTCATGAAACTAACTGACTCACAGATACACACCAGATTTGTTTTTGGAAAAGTTACATGTTGCATTTATTTCTTTGGTTTTTGCAATGGCTTTGAGAACAGTTAGCTTAGAATTATTTCATTAAAATATATTAATAAATACATCAAGGTCCTCAGGTAAAAATACATGGTAGTTTTAGTATTTTAATGTAGAGGAGATTAAGTGGAACTGAGTTTTTGTCTCATTAACTTTTCTTTCACATAATAACTCTAAGTGAAATACCTAAAATATTATTGCCTTGAGAAACTTTAATGGAGGTTTCCTTATCAATAAGTGAGAGATTGTTAGCATCTTTGAATGTACTGAAGCCTTTTACAGAATCAGAAGTAGAAACTAACCTGTCCGCAATTCTGGAACACATTCTAGTTATTCTGACCTGAGACCTCATTTCGTTCTTCTGTAGAGTGCAATGTTGGCCTCTCATTAATTCTGCAACTAACTTCCCAGCCAGTATCACCAAGGCTGACTTATCCAAAAGTTTTTATACAATTCCAGACTTAATGAGTTAGACTCTAAAGGGTGGTTTCCAGAACGTGTATTTTAAGTTTCCTTAGTTATTTGATAATCACCTAGTTGTGGTACCTTTCAATCTAGTCACTTACTAAAATCTTTTCTTCCGAACTTTCTTTTTCTTGTCTGTGAAATGGATTGACATTTGGCAGTATATTTATTTCTAGAGCTTGTGGCTATTAATCTTTGTTTTATTTTACAATGACATTTATAATAAAGTGGATAAACCAGTTAGCTGATTAAGAGTTCAAATAAAAGCAGACCATATGATTAGGAGTATAACAAAATGTAATTTTCACCACTAATTATGGGCCAGCAATGCATTTAAACTAAATACAGTACTTGAAAGCACAAAGAATTTATACAGCACATTTAGTTATTCATAATGTGTCTAGTTGTTTAATAAAATACTGTAAGAACTACATTCTAAATTTGAAAGCTAAAGAGTCAAAGTACTAAATAAATCACTTCATGGCACAAGACATCAATAAACTTATCTATACAAACAGCAAGCAGATTTTTGTGCTAAAAGAACAGAAAACAAATGACGTAGAAAATTCAAGTATGATGAACTTAGAAATGGCTGGTAAACTAAGGCTGAACAGTGCCCTGTGAGCATCAGGTCCTTTTTTTTTTTTTTTAATAAAAATGAAAACATCCTTTCCTGGTAAGCAGCTGTAGCTCCAGCAAGTGGTGGCAGCCCCAGGGATAGAACCAGCCAGCGTCTCCCAAGATCCACGCCACGTTGGAACTTAGGGCACTGGGAAACAAAGTAACCCGCTCACCTCCCTGGTAAGCAGCCATGGCTCCAGCAAGTGGTGGCTGCCCCAGGGAGAGAACCAGCTAGTGTCTCGAGATCTATGCTATGTTGGAACTTAGGGTGCTGGGAAATAAAGCAACCCACTCACTTCCCTGGTAAGCAGCCATGAGCCTACCAACACGTGGGCTGAGAATCAAACATTCCACCCCATCCCATCCCCTGATTAGTAAATGGGAGCCAGAAGTCTGAGCATCTCTTGGGAGGTTGACCATATGCAAATAGGGGGCATTTTCTTCTACCATCTCTTTGAAGGCAAATATTGTTATCACTGTTATGCTTTGCTCTGATTAACTATATTGCTCTTTTTAATATTCTGTTTTGATAAGTTCTATGTTCTATATTTGGTTTGATTTTGCTATACCTGATTGAAAGGACAACTATTGTGAGGATAATGAGATATACTATGGTACCTATTACTGTTATCCCGGTAACTGTTGTGACATTCAGTACCAATTTCACTGCATTGTCTCAACTGGCTTTGTTCTGCCTTGTTCTGTTGTATTTTACTATCTTCAAAACAATAAAGATTTTTTAAAAAATGAAAACATCTCAAACATAGTAGCACACAGCTTTAGAAAATTTTCTTTGATAACTTAAAATTGTGTTCATGCATTAAATATGTGAAACGTGTTAATTTCTTGAAGTATTGATGTCACCCTTCAGATGCTGATCCTATTGCATTTTCCTGTAATTTTTTTCCTCAATGAATCTTAGACTTGTAATAGGGAAGACATTAAACATGCTAAGATAAATACTGGCCTTAGGCTTTATTTATAAATAAACTTAATTATGGGCCAATAATACATTTCCAGCATTAAAAAGAACTAGACACAAAATCCCTGCTCTACAGAGTTCTCTATTTTAATAAAGTATCTCAAGCACTGATTCTGAACCACTATGAGCTTTCAATTCATCTTTCAAACTGTGCACAGATACTGATTTTCTCTGCAAATGCTCATCATTTTTTGAATACTCATAATGGATACCTTAAATTTGGATGGACAAGAACTATATTTTGTTTTATATAATACTATGTCAAGAATTTTGTTTTATCTTTCAGTTTTCTAACATGTCCTTCTCAGTTCTGTCCAACCCAGTGGCATTTTCTGTAACAATTTGTGACGGTTTTCTGTTATTTTTTACTGTTTCCTTGCCACTCATTCCTCATTTCTACAGTTTGATCATATGAGCTTGCCATCTTCCAAACTTTCCTGACTTCATATCCACTGGGTGACTAATGTTGAAATATCCTCAAAAGCCAGGTCGTCAATAAATGTAACTCATCAGCATTTCTGATCAGTATTTCTTTAACATTTGTTTTGAACTTCAGATCTTCGCTGTAACAGCAATTCTAAAAGAATAGTATCTTCAAAAAGAAGAAATGCTATCTTCAAAAAGAATCATTTCTTGGGGGGTCTTCGTCATAAAACAGTTGTATTAAGAGATTGATAAAGAAATACATAACTCTAAAGAAATGTGTGACTCCGCAAAGGTTGCTTCTATTGTGTTGTCAACTTCCACCATGATAAACACTGTTAAAACTATCTGGTATGGGACATTAATTTATACACAAAATGGTCAGATCAAAAAATTAAAATTTTGATTCAATACTGAATGAAAATTTGTATGACAAAATTAAGTTTGAAAACTTAAAACATAAAAGATAAAGATTGGTAAGTATTCATTGGTATGTCTGTTACATTTATCAAAAATATATATTTAAGAATCAAACTATTTGAGTTTACAAGATGCTATCAAGCAATCTGCCATCTGTGATCCATAATTTTTCTACATTTTTAACTCAAAGGCAGTAATTTAACATTAAGAAAATTTTAATTTTCCAAATGTACTCAGAAAAAATTATCAGAATTATCTTCCAGATAATAAATACACTTGTATAATTCATTGCCACAAATGAACTCCCTACTTGTGAACTAGCAGTCAACAACTCTATGACCATCTGTGCTGATGGCACTGTCTACTCATAACCACTCTCTCCTGATGTGAGGTATATGAACAAGAAGAGACAATAGTCAACTTGCACTGTTTCACTGACTCTTGTTTTCACTGTACGTTAAAGGCCTGATTTCACTTTTACAACCAAAATAAAAACAGCGGTTTTCTACTTGGAAAGGTAATTATATGTTCCTGTTAGTAGAAATAGCAATTTCAAACATGATCTCTAGGAATACTTTGCAGTTCTCAATCTTGCTTTAGAAAAAATTTCTTTGCCTACTGATTGGGATATCAATACATCAGTGTGAATTAGGTTAATAAAACAACTTAGAGATTGAGTGTGGACTCGGTCTCAGGAGTATGTGCAAGATTTATTCCCATACCATCATTGGTAATAACTGCACTTGTTGCTGTGGAAACCTTAAATTCTTCTGTTGCAAACTTTAAGTTTGCTGTGAAGGTGTACTTTCAGGAATCCTGGGTTTTCAGCAGCTGTGGGTCCAACATGAGAATGAATTTAAAGGAAAACTTTGAAATGGCACATCTGTTCTGGATGCACAGGTCACCCAACTAGGCTGAGTGGCCACTTTGACTATGTTTCCATTTGAGGAAAAGGGACAGAGGGCGTGAAAAAGTAGCAGCGTGCAGACTATGTAGAAGGCTAATACGACCATCTGGCAAACAGTGATGACAATGAAGGTAGAAGAGTACAAAGATGTAGTACAAATCTGACCTAGCAATGAGTTGGGAGAAGGGCTGAGAAAAGTCAGACCAAGGAAGCATCTATGTTTTAGCGGAGAACAGAAGATAAAGACTTTGAGATGAAGAAACATACTTTATTTTTATCTTTTTTGGTAAAGGCTCACCAGGAATCAAGGGTTCTCTTTTGGACATGTTAATCTTGAGACATCTAAGTGGAAGTCAGGCAGCTCAATATTCAAGTATGGACACAGATGTCAGGAACAAAGGAACAACTGTGGAGTCATTTTTATAGGACTGCCCAAGCAGTAAATGTATGCATGGAAGAAAAAGGGGCTTAAGACTAATTCATGGGGTACTCCATCATTTATTGTGGGCTGGTAGAGAGGGAACAAAAAAGATTAGAGAAGATCAGTGGAGCAGGTAAGTCCCAAGCCAAAAGAAAGAACTGTTTCTTCAAGACTGTAATGAATGCCTCTGAACGGTTGACTACGATGAAGACAGAGAGGTGAGCCTCTAGGCAACTGTCACGAAAACAGTTTAAATGGAGGAGAGGGCATAAACCCCAAGATAGAGAAGTCAGAACTTCACTGTAGTAGACCGAGAAGAGAATGGGAAATGTAACTAAGAGTGATTATAGCTAATTCCTTCAATTGGGAATGGGAGTAAAGAAATGAGCAGGAAAATTTATTTAACTGGTTAACACTAGAAGATATATGCAGATGAAAAACAGTTGCAAATTTCAATTCAAACAATTTCTTTTTCTGGCAGTGCTAGTAATCTAACATGGGCCCTGGGTCATGCTGATTCTCTCACATTTGAGTAGTATTTGATTTTCTGATTTTTGAGATTTATATACAACAAAAAGAATTCACGTTTAAGTTTTTCATGAAATAAATCTTATTTTGTACACACAATAGAAAGCAATGTAAGATAGGCAATATCAATGAAGTTCTTACCTCTCTAGTTTGATGTTCACTGACAGGCTGAAACCGAGGTACAACCTTAAGCTGCTGTTCTAGTTTCTGTATTTCTTGTTGGAATACATCTCTCTCATGTTCTCTATCAATGGCTTGCTCCTGAAGTTTAATAATAATGATGATAGTAACTGAAGAAATGTTTATTAAACCTATTATTTGCCTTATTTCCCTTTTGTTAAAGTTTTTTTTTTTTTTTTTTTTTTTTTTGGTACTGAGGATCGAATTCACAATCTCATGCTAGCTAGGCAGATGCTTATAATGCTGAGCTAACTCCCTGACCCTTAAAGATTAGTTTTGTTTGAAAATGAAGAACTGATGACCAAAGAATACCCTGAACCACAAAGGTTTAAAAAAATTTTTTTTTTGGTATCGGGACTTGAACTCAGGGCCTCATGTTTGCCAGGCAGGTGTTGTCACTATATCCCCAGCCCCTACAAAGGTTTAAAAAGAAAATACTTCTTTTAATATATTATGTATCTCATAAGGACTCTTCAGCAAATATTTAAGTATTTAAAAACTATCTGAAGTATAATTTTAAAAATCAAGTAATGTTAAATCAGAAGGGAAAAAAATTTTTTTTTTGGTACTGGGGATTGAACTGACAACCTTGCACTTGCCAGGCAGGCACGTGTGCCACTGAGTTAAATCCCTGGCCTAGGAAAAAAAGTTCTTTTTTTTTTTTTTTTTTCTGGTACAGGCGATTAATGACTGCATGCTTCCCAAGCTAAATCCCAGGCTCTAGGAAAAAAAATTCTTAAAATGAATTCACCTTTTTGTACAAAGGAAAAATTACACTGCTAATTTAGCCATTACAATAAGTATAAAAATTACCTTGTTAATTTCTTAGAGTTTTATACCTAACATTAGAAAATGTATAAGGATATGACTCTCTGATCTACGAAGAGAACATTAGACTTGTATGAGATTCTAAAGAAGGAAATCTGTGAGAGTCAGGAGATTTAATACTGATTTGGAAAAAGCCTTAAATGGTATGAGGCTGACTGCTCTAGTCCCATTTCTAGACACCATTCCTGTTAGCTATGTCCATTTTTTTGGAGGGAGAAGCAGTGGGAACTAGTCCGCTCTCAGAATTCTCATCTGCTTTGGTACTGATTAAATGAAAGACTAGGATATGCTTAGGGTGGAATTTGGAAAAAGCAGTAGGGCTTATTCCAAGTTTCCTATTCTACTTTTTTTGTTTTTGTGTGTGTTGTGGATTGAACCCAGGACCTTGTGGCTGTACTTTACCATGGAGCTACATCCCTAGTTGTACTACCTTTAATTCTGATTGTTATACAATATAAACTATTGGAATTTTTAATAAGAAAAGTGCTCAAGCATCATAGAATACAAATATGGTTGAAAACAGTCATTCAAGGGTCCTCATAATTTAAAATTCACAGCCTTGAAGAGTAGCAAGTAGTATTCCTTTGAGAAAAGTCAATATTCAAATTGAGAATACTTACATCTAAAAATTTTCTCATTTTTTCTAACTGCTTTTCCAGTGCTTGGTTTTGCTGTCTTAAATCCATTAGTTCAGCATTTTTCTCTTGTTCCAGCTCTATAAACCTACTGACTTGTTCCTCAACATCTATTTCTAGAGCTTTCACTTGCTTTTGAAGGTCATCACGTACTTTTTCTGCTTGACACTGTACTTCTAGCTTTTCCTTCATTAGTTTTTCTGTCTCCTGTAATAACTCTGTTTATAAATGTGAAAAAACATAAAGGCAAATCACAATTAATGATTCTATAATAGTAAAGTCACCCACAACTGTTTAAATTTTTACCTTTATAAAGATGGAGACTTATTGTAAATACATGTTAAAAAGTTTTATACAAGTATCAAGATTACTTCACATTTATATAAGGTAGGCAAGTATTAATTGATAGAGGAATGAGAAAAAAGTTATGTTCTGTCATAAAAATTAACATTTGTGTAAAAACAACACAGTAAAGCAAAAAATCCAGTTTCACTATTAGAGAAAGAGCAAAATCCAATTAAATTCAAGCACAGGGAAAAAAACTCATCATTTTCTTTGCATCAGGCAAAATTAATCCATTCTAAACCATTCTCACTTTATATGCATATATAATATACAAAGATCAAGCACCATACTGCAACAGAATTTCCTGTTACACTTACTCATCAGATCTATAATCCTGAGATGCTTTTGCATGCTCACATATCTGTGTACCCAGGAAAAACTGACATGGGTAAGAGGCGGTGCAGTTAGTACTTAGGAGCAGACTATGGGTTTAAAGTCTGACTGTAAGCCTTTTTTCCTATGTGACATTAATATGACACTCTTGAGTTTTCTCAGACATAAAATATTAGTACTGTTATCATATCTACCATATACTACCATATAAAATGACAGTATTGTTACCAATCTCTTAGAATGATTTTGGGATCAAATGAATTATAATACGTAAAGAATACTGAATGATAAACACTATGTAAATGATAATTATTGCTATTAATATAACAATAAAGTATAGACAGCCAAAATAAAATAATCTTTTAATGAAGAAAAGGGATATAACATAGCTCTACTGTCTTTATACTATACTAATTATTGTGTTTACACTGTACTCAGGACTAAGAATCTGTAGAAAATACCTTTTTTAAAAAAACAATACTGCTATTGAATGTAAAAGTAAATCAATCAGAAAACCTGTTACTGAATTTCACTGAATCTTTTGCTACTGTTATCGTCCTGATTTTGAAGAAATATTTATTACAGATGAGTTTAATCACTTACAAAAATAGAGTTTAAAAACATAGTTTTTTAAAAAAATCTTTTAAACTCTGTAAAAAACTAGATACAACAAAATGATGGTTACCATAAAACCTAATTTCAGATGAAAATGTAAAAGAAGTTGTTTTCTTGTTAAAGAGAAAAACTGTAAGTATGACACACAACAGCAAAACTGCAAAATTAGAGACATATTAGTTGAAAATTCAAGGGTCACCCAAATTTTGAATTGTAAGTTTACCATCCAAAAGCAGTCCATGCAACTGTACACACACACACACACACACACACACACACACACACACACACACACCTGCTCCAGGTGCTGCATCAACTGCAGCATCTACTAGTCCTATGAGAAAAGAAAAAACAGATACAACAAAAATATAATTATATCATTTCTCATGTAATGCTTTATGTATTCATATATTAGAAGCAAAAGCTGAAGTCACTGTTTATCATTATTAATATTTGAGAAGTTCCAGTATTTCTTTTATTCATTCCACATTAAAAATTCCAACCCTAAATCTGTGTTAAAAAAATTTCAGCACCTGAAAAAAACTTCAGCATCTTTCAAATGTATGCTGTAAATAAAATTAGACATTTATAATTTCTACTGTATATATAATATGAATAAAAGTAAGAGGACATGATAAAGAGGATTTAAAGGTCCATTGTTTCAAAGACTAGTATCACTGAACAAGCTTTTAACTTCAAGATTTTTCTTTCTTTCTTTCTTTCTTTTTTGGTACCAGAGATTGAACTCATGACCTTGCACTTGTCAGGCAGATACTTGTGCCACTGAGCTATATCCCTAGCCCTTAATTTCAAGATATTGATTTCTCAGTTAAGGAAAACTTAGTTTACTTGAAAATTTAAGTATTATTTGAATGCCTACTTAGATGTCAGATTGCTTTTAGCTGCACTAACCTTTTCAAACTATTCTGGTTTAGAGGTTCAAGGGCCTCTTACCTGCTTACTAATGGTACCCGATTACTGTTCTTTGTTATTCAACAATATATTTTTTGCTCGTTCTCTGCTATTAAAAGAACTAAACCTCGCATAATTTGTAAAAATACTTTATTTTACTGTTTGTAACTTTATCCCACGGTAGAGATTTAGGGATAAAGAAGCATCTTATTTTTTTTTTAAACTGCTATTATCTGCCAAAAGTGAAAAAACAAAATTCTCCTCCTAGAGATCCTGATTTCATATTTATTACTGACTAATAAAACTATCAGGTATCCTTTTACTTACAATTTTTTTAAGTTCCTACATAAAATATACAAAAAATGGTTCTGAAAGGGGGAAAAGAAGTTTAAATGTAAATGAAGGAGTAATGTTTTATGCAAAGTCTAAAAATACATACGTCGTTCCACTGGGCCTGCCTCTGCTTTCATAGCCTCTTTCTGTCTGGACAGTAATTCTTTTTCTTCCTGGATCTGCTGTTGCTCTGCTTCCAATTCTTGTAATCGATTACCTGCACATAACAACTCCTGTTCAAGGCGATCTATTATATCGGTTTTTTCCTGAATTTGCCTTTCAAAAACAGTTTTTTCATCTGCATAACCATCAATGACACCTATAAAATAAAAGGAATAAAATTTCAAAGAATGAAATTACTGCTCATTTAAAATTTTACCAGTAGGTTTTTATATAAATAAGAGATGTACTGTTAAACAAATTATTCTAACCTATTAAAAAAGTATAAATTTGCTACAAGATTAACCTTTAATGATATGTTCAGTATTGTTTTTTCTTGTTTATCACTGGGCAATATATACAAAATATCTCTATAAACTACTACTATTATTGTCCGTTGTGATAGTAAGATATCATATTATGAATGTATAACTCACTATGAAACAGAAATAGGTTCCTGGAAAACTTAATGTAAATCAGATAGTTCTGAATTGAAGTCTAATATTAAATACATTGGAGAAGGATGATACTTTAATTCTAGGAGGGCAATACTCAACAACCTGAGAGAATAGAAACAGCCTGAGGTGGTAGAGGCTAAAACATAGTCACCATTTCAAGGCTCCTTAAATAGCAATTATTTTACTATGGTCAGATGATGGTAACAATTCACTACCATCCATTTCTGTATTTTTAAAAATTTTAAGTATTTTCTGTAATTCCCTAAATTGTTCTCATAATATTGTGTGTGTGTATTTTTAAAAACTGCTTTGAAGAACTCTGAAGACAAACTACAACCACCTTTCAGTGGTTGCTCTAAATTAAGAATGTTTTTAAATATGGCTATATATACACATCTCTATTTTAAGACCGAAATTTCTCCAATCAGTTGCGAAAGACAGCATGCTTACCCTCAGCCTTACTGAGCTCCACAGCCAGTTGTTCTCTGGCCCTGGACTCTTCATGAAGGCGCTCTCGCAGTTCTTCTTGGCACTTAAGGGATTCTGTTGCTTCTTGTTTCTGCCTAAATGATTCACGCATCAACTCTGTCTGTGTGACTTTTGCATGTTCGAGCTAAACCAGGAGGGAAACAACACATGAAGCATGATACAGTGTTGGTAATACCTGTGTCATTTTCAATTGAAGTTAAAAAAGGATTTAAAGTGAATAAATTATAGTCATGAGCTGATGATTTAGTTCAGTGGCATAAGCGCCTGCCTGACAAGCATGAGGTTGTGATTTGATCCGGGTATCCATATATAGTCACTTAAATAGTCTTAATGCTTGTTAATATTAGCAGGAAGAATTTCACAGAAAATGAGTAGATTAACTTGCGTCACTTCTGGTAAGTAATACTTTAGTTTTATGGGATGAAAAAGCATCCTTCTATGGGAAATAAGCTACTAACTCAATGGATATGTATTCCACAATGCAAAGGGAAGTATAAAATTAATGAAACACAGGATTTTTGTATTTGCTGAAAAGTTCTTGAGATATATGTAATGGCCTATGAAAAACTATTTATTTTATATTTAACATTTATTCATTATGACTCTCACAATATTTGCCATACTTTGTGAGGGACTATTAATATATGATTAATACAATGGTACCAGTTAAAATTATAGTGGCACAAAAAATCATAATTATAATACCTGGGCTTGACGCCTGTTCCTTTGTAAGAAGTCTAAAAATTCTATATTCAATTTATTTTCAAAATCTTATAAATGCAGAAGCATTAAAAATAGAGCTATCATAGAATGCTATCATTGGCACAAATAGGAGTATATTCTTTTTCCTTTTTTATTGGTACCAGGGATCGAACTCACGACTGCCCGCTTGCAAGGTAGGCGCTTATGCCGCTGAGCTAAATCCCCAGCCCCAGGACTATATTCTTAAACATTTCTTAAGATGGCAGTACAGAGTGGAAGCCAAAGGTCTCAATTAGGAGGCAAGTGGATTACTTGTTACTGAATCATTGTATGAAATTACAGAAAAGCACTGTTTCCATCATAGATATCTGGAGTTCCTGAATACCATAACCTACTTTTCTGTTTTTACTGTAACTATACAAGACAAGTCTGGCCTCAAATGTTTCTAATACTTAGTCCAAAAATTTTAAAAACAAATAACTATAATAACAACAAGCAAGTCTCATAAAATCTGTGACTTTATATGTCAAGCACTGTATACAACACAAAGATATTATTGCCATGTTTTAAGCCAAAATATATCGAATATATTTGTGGTACTAAGTGTACTGGTTTTGTTAGTCTTCGAAAATATAAAGCACTCCCAGTTAAGAGATAAGTAGGTTTGAATTATGCCAAAATGTTAAGTGTTTGATCTTATATAAAAACTTTATTAAACACATTTTTGTGGAAATTAAGAAAATGATCAAATGTATTCAGAGAACAATGTATTATAAAATTTTGATAATAGTTAAGAGCATTTTATTCTTTAAATGCCTTTGCACTTCATAATTTAACCAGTATTACCATAACAAATGGATTCTGGAGTTACTAAAGCTTTTCCATGGTCACTAAATCTATTTCCAAAATATCTAATATATAATTATTCTCATTTCTTTTTTTAAAAAATTGCTCTCATTTCAATAAAATGTTTCAAATACCCTTTGGAATTTATTTTAGAATAACACTCATAAATATATGACAATAGAAATTTAAGCATGAATTTTAAATTATAAATTATTTCCTAGAATGATTCTAGAACAACAGCAGCTACGGAGGCTCTCTGAGATAGTCAGCTCAGAATCCAGGTATGGTGCGGTGTGAGGAGTCCTAAGCAGGAGGAGATATACCGTGCCGACCCAGGAACGAACTAAGCTGAGAGAAAACAATCAGAAATGCAATCCTGGTGCTATGACTGGAACAGCTAAAGTCTCAGGGCTGAAGCTGGAACCCATGCCTCTGGAAACTGCGACTTGAATTTCCTGCCGCAGCTGATGCATGAGAATTGGCACAGCAGGGATAGAGACGTGAAAGCTCTGAGAGTGGGAATCAGTAAACCGAATTGAGAGAGGAACTGGCGGGGAGCCCTGCATTGACTGGTGGTGAGTGAGAGGAATGGGGACCCCTCCATAGATAAGGAGGCTCCAACAGAGGACTAGCCAGAACAGGACGCTGCAGTGACTTCAGTCGCATATTCCCCTCTCAAGCGGGATTGGTGGGGAGCCCTGACCTGGGTGATGTCAGGGACTAAGACCCAGTAGGCTAGCCCAAACCAGGTCCCTGTGCCTGGCAGTGCACCCTAGCAGTGAAGCTTTCAGTAGGTTGACCTGGAGGAGTGGACCCAACAAACGCTGCCCCGGTCTGTGTCTTCCTAGCACACTGCAGTGGGCGGGAACACCTAGCCAGCTAACCCACAAAGAAAGAAAATGGGCCTCCTATATAAGACTGTATGGAAGGTTCAAAAAATATTAGAAGAGGAGGCAACAAGAAAGGGTCCTCAGTCCCCAATCCTGAGAACACTGATCCAGGAAAGGTAAATGCAAAGGAGAATGAGGACAGAAAACATGCAGTATCAGACACGGCACCAACAGACATAAAGCAGTATCTCCAGAGCCTCATAGATGAGCTCAAAAGTGAAGTATTTAACGAAGTAAAGCAAGATATAAGTAGAACAGTTAGAGAAATGCTAAGCACCGCCCAAGAAAAAACAGATGGTGGAATGGAAAAAAAGGGGAGAATTGTTTGATGGAGAAAATAGAGAAAACATAGAATACATCAAGCAGGTTCAAAGAGATTACCAGGAAACTAAAAACTATTGAAAACTGGCATAACAGCTTGAAAGAAACTAAGGATAGACTATCTGAATTGGAGGACAGATTTGTAAAGTGGGAGCATGAAATGAAAAACTTCTTAAAAATAACAAGGAAACAAACAGCAATAATACAAAGGCTAGAAGATGATCAGAGGATCTATAACTTAAGAATTAAGAACCTAAAGGAAGAAATAGGGACACAAACAAATGAACTACAAAGGCTATTCACAGAAATAATCCAGGAGAATTTTCCTAATTTAGTAAAAGGTAAGGATACTCAGATGTATGAGGCATACAGGACCCCAGCCACCTTACACCCCAAACAGAACTACACCCAGGCATATAATAATCAAAATTCCAGAAATCCAATATAAGAACAGAATATTAAAAGCAGTCAGAGACAAGAAACAGATCACTTACAAGGGAACACTCATCAGAATTACAGCAAACTTCTCAGCACAAACTATCAAATCACGAAGAGCATGGGGTGAAATCATTCAAGCTTTGAAAGACAATAACCTCCAGCCAAGATTGATATATCCTGCACAACTGTCCCTAGAAATTAATGAAGAAACAAGGTGCTTCTAGGATAAAGAGGAACTAGGGGAATTTGCAACCACCAATTCAACTCTACGGAGAATACTGCAGGACATTCTAAAAGAGAAAAATACCAAGACTCCAAAAACAGTAACAGAGAGGCCACAATGAATGGAGCAGAAAGCAAAATGAAGAAGACAAACTGACAGACAACTAATGACAGAAAAAGAGCTCAACAGAAATGAGGCAGAGAAGGTTGGATATAATATCTAATATACATGGCCTAGATACCCTAACTTCAGGGAAAAAATAGAGAATAGCAGGCACAGTGGATCAAGAGATAGGGTCCACTGAGAGGCTCTTTATAGGAAATATAATTAGCCTAAAGAAGGTTATATGGACCAAAATCAAACATGAGAAAATGGAACTCGATGTGATAGGGAACCAGAGAGAATAGGGCTAATGAGGCCAGTATATATGGATAGGTTGAACAGACAGGCTTTAAGAAGTATACCTAGAAATCCAGCCCAGGAGTGAGAAAATTCAGAAACACTTAAGTAAATAGCAGGTTGCCCCCCCCCCCCCAATATAAAACCGTGAGTGTTGGGGAGACCCAAAATACACAGTTCATTCTGGAGGAGTAAAAGGGAGGGATAGTCCTCAAAAAAAAAACAGCATAAGATATAGCTAATAGTGTATCAGGAATCAAAACCCCTATTACTCTTACCACTCTGCTTGGTTGGAACTTGTTCTGTCCTAGTTTGTATACAAGCATTGGATCTGAGGGGCATGGATGGCTGTCCATAGCATAGGGGACATATTTAATTCCCTATTAACTCAATCAGGATCCATGTATGACTTATACTGTTATATCATGACTGATCTTAGTTAAATCTGACTTGTTTGATTGCTGCTTATTACTGATAGATTTTATTCAAAACCTGTAAGGTTGATGGCAACAAGTTGAGCAGTACAGACAACTATACTGAAAATGACAATGATTCACTACTGATTTGATTACTACCTGTTTTTGTAGCTCTACACTATCTATAAAGTTGTGTTTCTGTTAATTCTGTTATGTACTGATATGCTCAATTATACTTTATCTGATGATATAGCCAATTCTGTTGATGATAACAAGAAACAGCATGGTGACCAGGATAGAACTCGTTATACAGCAGATTTATATGTCTTTTTAGTTTTATATGTCTATAGGAAAAAGTTTAGTTCTGTCCTGCTTTGTTATGTTTTTCCCTCTAACATAGAAAGGATAGAAATACATGTTAAGACTCAAGCTTACGTAAAACCTATAAACAGTTTATGAGCACTGATGTGATGACACATGACGAAATGAACAAAAACTTTGAAAGAAAGTGGCACTGCAGTACCCAATCCCGATTCCTGAGTGTTATGATGTGAAATCCAGCAGTATTATTGATCTTTGTTCAGAAGGAATTTAATCTAATATGCTGTTAGGTCTCAACATAAATGAACATATAGATAAACGCGTACATGTCTAAGTGTATAGAATTGATAGCCATAATACTTAGTTTTTGTTGGATAGTTGAACAGAACTGTTTGCAGTATCCCTGGTTAAATTCCCATTTATATGTTCCACTTGTGTACCTTGAACAACTATTTATAGGGGATAATATGTATACATCAGCTAGTGATTTATTACTATTTCTTTTATTTTAAAGTACGTACTATTTCTGCCTGTTTTCTATGTTGTTTTGTGTTTCTTTAAATAAAAA